TCCCCAGAGCCCAGCAGATCAGTAGCCAATGACAGGGAAGGGATGTGCCACAGGCTGGTCCCCAGGCACACCGGAGGTGTGGCAGCTCAGGAAGGTCACTGTGTGCCACCAGTTTTAAGCCAGGAAAACATTTGCCCCAGCTGTGACAGGCTTAGCAAACACTGCCCCACGGCCGCATCGCCAGGGCCGGACAGCCCAGGCAAGGGTTTCAGAGAGACTTTCTGCCCTAGGTCCTAGCAGAAGTGACTTACTCATTGACAAATGCTGATTAGCACATCAGGGGGAGATGAAACAGAAGGATTAGGCTCCTCTTCCAAAGATCAGGGTCTATTGTTGCAAGAGCCCACGCTTCCATGTCAACGTGGCAGAGCTACACAGTCAGACGTAATTCAATAGCCAGGTCTGGCCTTAGCGTTGCCCAGATTTTGTATTGCAAGGGTTTTTTTCTCATCTGTTCAGAATCCTGTTCATGATCCCATGGAGAAAAGCCCTGGGTGTAATCAGCACCATGAGCCGTACCAGCAGGAGGGGACAGGAGTGGGTGCTGGTCCCCAAGAGCCTTCACCTTAGGATTTCTCTGCTCGTACTTTCCCCCACTACAGAATTTCAGGTACAGCCCTCCCACAAATTTGTTCATGAGCCAGTCACAAGCAGAAGGTTTCTGGGAAGAGGAACCAGCAGCTTCAGCTGCTCCCTGCAAGGAACAAGCCAAAGACAGACACTTCCTTCAGCCAGCTTGACTGGGGAAGTCCAGACCTCTTGAAGTTGGCTCTAAGGAGGCAGGATGCTCCATGTAAACTGCCACAACAAGACTCACAGCATGTTTAAACTCCACACAAGCTGCCAGCACAGCCTGTGGTGTGATGGTGCCAGTTATACCCTGTCTGACGTGCAAAGACCACTGCAGCGTGGGTCTCACAGGGCTCTTTTCAAGCAGCGCCGTGCCGGTGAGTGCCTTGGGGTGGGCTTTCAAGCAGGGGATTCTCCAGATTTTTAAGATGATTCCTGCAGAGAAGGTACAGAAAAAACAGAAATGATCCATTGAATGAACCACTGGTTATTTCTCTACAGTGGCCCCGATGTTTAAACTGCCTGCACAGCCTCTAAAAACTCATATTTAGGACCAGACAGAGCTGTTCTTTGTGCTCACTGCAATTCTCTAGTTAGTTTTGGGTATACATGTACCATTGCCAGCAGAGACTGGTTGGAAAGGGGAATATCACCCACAATACCCAAACAACCTTGTTTACATTTCTGTATTCATTAACAGAGGTAAGATCTAATGGCAAATACAACTTTATCTTCCTTTGTGTTACTTAAAGAGGTACAGCTTAAACAGTTCAGAGACAGTCATGAGCTCAGCAGCATTTGTAAGCCCTGATAAAGTGCCTGCAGAGCTCTGGCAGGCATCAGAACACAAACACAGATGTATTTACAAGGCCTGACACTCCTTCAAACATCCATCTGACAGCCACATTTGTCAAAAATTTTACAGATAGCCCTAAATGAGGGTAATTGCATCTCTTACATATGCCCATGGCTGTTCAGAGCAAACACATCTGCTCATTTTGGACTTCAAAGGAGGAAGAGAAGATGCTTCGTTCAGAAAAATAAATTCAATCATGTGTATTAGTAGTGCCTTCAAGTCTAAACAAAATCAAAGATCCATTAGGTTAGTCCCGCTAAGAGATGCATTTACCAAGATTAACCTCTCTTCTGAAGAGAGTAGAAAGAGGACATGAAAAAAATTATTCTCATGCCAGTTTTGATGATAGGAGTGCAGAGAAGTTAACTGAGCAAGAAGGTATCAGTGGGAGCAGCACCGAGCCCCTGTGTCCAATGACCCAGCCCAGCTCCTTAAACTCTTCCCCTCAGCAGCCTCAGTGCTCACAGGAGCGCTTGGAAGAGCCTCTGAGGAGCCAGGCAGGAGCAGGAACTGGCTGCTGACAAAGCTGGACCTTAGCAAACGCTTGTGCAAGTGCTCTTCTCCAGACCTGTTCTCCAAACTGGCTTCCACTTACTGCTTTGGAAAAAACACACCGTCATTATGAGAACTGTGAGTGAAGAAAATACCCCAAGCCCCGTGTATCCCCTTGCCCTGACCATCCCAGTGATCCCCTTCCAGCCCCTGTCTCCAGTTCACTCCTCCGTGGTGGTTCTCCTCCACTGGCCTTCCCCAAAACTCCATTCAACCTTTCTAGCCCCCTAAACCCGGACACCTCCCCACTTTTCACCCACTGCAGCTTGAACCGTATCAAAGCAGACATGGGCCCTTCCTCTGACAAGTTCAGTCACAACTGAATCCAGATTGATCACTTTGTTCTGTCCCAGTTCCCCACACCCCTGACCCAGCCACCTCCAGGGACCACTGAGGCAGCCCCAGTTTTGGTCCCCTGGCAGCCTGTGCTGACTCAGCTCTGGCCTGGATCCATCCAAGTCATTACATCCCTTTGAGCTCAGCTCAGCAAATAAAGCTGGGAAGTCCCCGGCTGCCCAACCGCTTGGGCACAACCTGGCTTCCTGATGGGGAACCCCAAACCTTTCCCTACCTCTCTTCTACAAAATCCCATTCCCTTTGAAAACCACGACTCATCCTGTCCATCTCTGCAGTTGTCCTAAGTTTTCTTATGTTTCCTTGAGTCACTTTCTGGGTGGCAGAGGGGCATAAGAAGGTATTTCTAAGAAAAGGACCCTGGCACAGGGTCATGCGTGGAGATCCTCTGATGTTGGGACAGTCCTGATCACAGGGTAGAAGAGAGGTCTCTGCCTGTCTCCTTAGACAGCAATGGAAGCTGCCCCTCAGCCTGCTCCACTCCTTGCTTCCCCATTGGGAAGATATTAAAAAAATGGCTGGTGATATCAGACCCAAGGACCTGGCTGCCTCTTCTGGCCTTTTCCCAGCTGTCCTGCCAGAGTCTCAACTTGACCCATGCCTTTGGTTTGACAACAGGACCCCAAACTTGCTCTTCACCGTCACCAGCCTCAGTTTTTCTCCTGTATGCACATGTCTTTGACACCAGCATCCAGCTTTTTGTGTGCTTACCTTTTGCAGAACCTCTTAAAAAGTTACTCTACACTCCACCGAGTTGGACACCTGTGGTTGAGGACCACTGTATGCCTGGCTCGGGACAGTGAAATAATTTCTGTATCAGAGCTGACTTGCCAGGTCCAGTCTTTATTTGACTTGCCATTCAGAAGGAAGTCTTAAATTTACCCCACACCGTACTCTGACACACAACTACTCCGCCTCCTTCAGAAGGATTAAGAAATACCAGCCTGTTGCAGGAGAGGGTCACCAACTGGGGACACCTTCCAAATGAGGGAACAACCACATGGAGTCAGTGGTATCACCCACCTGGCGTACTGAGGGGCCATTTTGGGACTGTGACATCAGCAGTGACCACCATCTGCAGCTGCTTGAAACCTCCCTTAAAACTACCCAGTATTTTTGAGGTATGTGCTAAGAAACTCTGAGACTCGCACCTTAAATACGTTTTTCACCACCTTATTATGCAACACACCTTGAACAGCTCATGAAAGTGATCCTCTAGCCTCATGGAAAGATCTACTGCACACTGTGCTAAGGCCAGCCAGGAAACCAGCAAGTACCAACACTCAGACACTACAGAGTTGTGTGCTGAAAACCTGCCTAAGTAAATTTCACAGAGCAGATGCTGTATAGGTACTGCCCAGGTACTTATAGTCTCATCTTTGTGATTCCACTAGAACCACTGGTTTTAGACTCAAGTTAGAACTTACACCTGCCAGGATTTAGTGTCCCATCACAGTTTTATCTCTACACTCATCACCAAGTTCAAGAGAATCAGGAACAAGAAGTTTCCCTTGAGCAGGTAGGCAAGGAAGTATTTCTCATGTTCTATATAAAGCTTGTGTGCACAGTTTATCAGGTTGCAAACGTTTATTGTTTAGCCCTGCAAACCATTCAGATTCCACGATGGGAGGCACAGACTGGTCGCAGTAAAGGCTGCCAGGTATTTGCCTTCAGAATGTGGTCTATTCTACCAACACCTTGCCAGGCACAAGTCAATTCTCCATGTTGTCTATCTTGGAGTCACTGCTCCATCCCTGCACTCTGAACTCTGACAGGCTACTGAAAACGAACCCTCAAAATAGGCACAAGGGATAAAAATCAGAAGTGTACAAAAATGAAACAGGTTCTCCATTTTATTTCCAATAAAAATTTAGATCCTAGATGGATACAGCATCTGTAAAAGACAAGATTAGAGAGAATCATGTTAGAAATCTTGTTACTGAACTGTACTATTTTAAACACAAGTTTTGCAGTTACAATCTAGATCATCCATCTTTTCAACTACTACAGAAGTGATCCCCTGGTTTACACAGAAGAGTTGTAAGAATAAAGAAATGTAACTAGTTCAGTGACTTGACGTAGACTGTGCTGGTGCACTGGCTCCCCCAGCAGCCAGCCCTCCTGCTCACTGACAGGAACATGAGTAGTTTCAGGATTTAACTGCCTTTTTCTTTTTCTAAGGCACAGGAGAAAACACAGAAAGGAAGGACTACACCCCTCTGATACTCCTTTTGGCAACATCACTAGGAAGATACTGCATCAAAACTCTGGGTGAGGGACCACAAGGGACAGTCTCACTGAAGCCTTGTGGCTAAAACACTGACTGTGCAGCAGGTACCAGCAGACACATCAGGACAGCACAGCCCTCAGAACATTTGGGAAGAAGAATGTTCTTCTTCCCAAAACCCAAACATGTATCAGTGGTAGGAACTGCAGTAGAAGGATGCAAAAGCACACGTACAATATCCAGGGGAAAAGAAATCAAGATAGCTTTAGAAGGGAGCTGAGTAAGAGCCCCAAAACTCAAAAGAGCCTTTCTAGACAACCTGAGCAAACATACAAAACCCCTGACAATGCAACAACCCCCACTCAGCACGAGCAGCCAGAAGGAGCACTTCGCAAAGAGCCATGCTGAATACACAACAGCAACAGACCAAAACCATAGTTCAGCTCTTCCTTCATACTATGTAGAATTAAAATGCACCCCGAAAACTGTCAATAAATACCTTACTGCTAAAATAAATCCACTTACCACCCGGATTCTGTGTCCAATGGCCTTGGCAGGAAGGTTGGAACGGAACTTGGCACGAACCATGCCACTGTTCCCATGGGCACGCGTTACCTTCCCCCAGATCACTCGTGTCCTGTTGGGTTTGCCACCGGGGGTTACGGTGTTGCTGAGGAAAGAGAAGAAAAGACCTGCTGAGCACACCAGTCACAGCTCTGTACAGGACTGACCAGCCATGGGGCAGACAACACAGACTCTCTAAGGCCATTCCTTTATTCCACAGCAAGGAGTAAGTTAAGGCACTTCAGAAAACACATAGATTTCAATTCCAAAGGTAATGGAGTATCTTGTTTGTAAGTGTTTTCCAGCCACACCAAGGGTGGGGAAGACCTAAGTCACTGCTAAGTTGAGTTAGCCTGAGCTAACTCAACAGCTCGTAGCACTTGGCACAAATTCACCTCACTTCAATTTATCAAGAAACCTTCAGTTTTTGCCAGTCTCAGGCAAAAGTTTGGTTCTCATCCCATTTGCTCTCTTAAACCAGCAAATGATTATTTCACATAATGTTCTGATCTGAATTAAGAACATAAAGGCCAACTAAAGCAAAAATAACCAGGGACTTTAAAAACGAAACCAACCCAGGAAACTGGTCTACACAGTACTCCATGGACAGTCTATTGATAAATTAAGTGAAATATATTTTTGCTCTAACAAAAGCTCTATAAACAGACAGCTCGCACCCTGGCATTTGCAAAAGCTGATACAAGAGCTGGCTAATTTAGAATGAAAGTTACTTACTTTTTAGCTTTGTATACATAGGCACACTTCTTGCCCAAGTAGAAGTCTGTCTCCTGACGTGCATAGACACCTTCAATTTTCAGAAGGGCAGTGTGCTCCCGCTGGTTTCGGAGGCCACGTTTGTAGCCAGCAAAAGTGGCCTTGCACCACAGCCTGAAGACATTGAAAACATTTACCAGTTATGATTTACTCCAAAGTATCAAATTTAAAAAACAAATCATGTCCTGTTTCAGCAGAAAGTATTTCTACACCAGTAGAAATTTAGCTGAGGAAAAACCCCACTGCTTTTGCTTTTACAGATTACTGCAAATCCTTGCTTCAGTCAACAAAGGAAAGCTAAATAACTGGGACATGAAGTATTTATGAGAACTTTGTATCCTTCTGCTTGTAATGCGCTTCTGGCACTACAGGGTTCATACTAAAACCAAAATACTTCAACATTAGTAGGTGTTATGTTTCCAAATGTCTACACTCTGCAATAAGTAAACATTATTTTATTTATATACATCATAAATTGAAGTCTCCTGTGTTGCAGCAACTACTATAGGAGAAGATATTAACTGCTGTTAATTTGTAGCCTCAAAGGAATTAACTGCAGTCTATGGGGACTTTCAGAGCGACAGCCCCACATGCACTGGACAAGTGACATTACACAAACTTCTCAACAATTCTTCATGGCAAAGACCTGTCTGTACTACCCAGGCAAAGCGATTATAAGGCTCATTCCACACATCACATGCACATCATGACTGTCTCAACTGCACCCAACAACTGTCCCATAATACAGCAGTATTAAACAAAGACACCAGTTCTACCTTCCACACATGCACAGCAGAAGATAAACGCCAAAAAATAATATTAAGACAAAAAGCTGTGATTCAGATTCAATCCCTCCACTGTTTACAACCTCAACCCCTATATCCGTAAGAAAACCCCAATGGTATAGTAGCCATTACTCAAAGAGATAACATGGAAAGCCTCTACTGTGCACTGAAGGGTCACAAACCATGCTCACGAAAACACCATCCCACATTTGCTGACAGCACAACACAACTTAAGAACAGCTAAAACAGCTTTACATAGAGGCTTCAGAGCAGGGAGACACAACTGTGGGCGTTTAACAGTCGGATACTGGGTAAAGGAGCTGTCCTGGAAAATGACAGCAGCCACAGGAAAAGGGATCACTCTTCGTAGTTTTAACAAAACGCTCTCAAATCTTCCAAACTGAGCTTTTCTATCAAGAATACACTATAACAGCGAACCAAGAGCCATCCTGGGACAAGTCACTCACCTCCCGGTCATGGTGTCCTCCTGAAGCCCTGGTCCCAGCAGGCCTAGAAACGACACACAACCGTGAGCCTCCCAGGCCGGCAGCTCTGTCCAGCCGAGCCACCGGGAGCTGCATCAGGCCCGGTCCGGGGGCCAGAACATCCCACCGGCCGGGGGCCACCCACAGCACGGCGACAACCGCCGCCAGCCTCCCTAGGCCATGCTCTGCCTGAAGGGAGAGGGAAGGGGACCCCTCCGCTTCCCCGCGGAACGGGACGCTCCGGGCGCCTCAACACCACTTCAGCCACAGGCCTCAAGGGGCGGCCAGGACCATCTGCCGCACATCGGCGCCATCCCGCCCTCTACCCGCTCCGCACGGCGCCAGCCGCAACGCCCCGGGAGCCCCGCGCCTGCCGGCGGTGCCATGGCGGGGGGAGCTCCCCTCCATCCCTTCACCCGCCGCCGCCATCCCCGACTCACCCCCACGGCTGCGAACCAAGATGGCGGCGAAAGAGAGAGCGGCCGCGCTGCCTTCCGGGATATGGGCCGCGAAGGACCCCACCCGCGGCGGGCGAGCACCGCCTGAACGGGCAGCATCACAGCGGCCCCGGCGGGGTGGGTACATCTGCCCCCAGCACCATTCCTCGCCCCGTTCCTCGCGTCCCCTTTCTCCTCCGGGTGGCTATCCGGGCAAGGGCGGGCACTGCCCCGCTGGGCAGGCACCCGCCTGGGCAGCCCCGCGAAGCCCCCGGAGCGTGGTGGTTGCCATGGAGACGGGCGCCAACGCCTCCGCGTCGCGGTGAGCGCTGCAGCGGGACGAGACCGGGCCCGGCACCGGGACCTGCACTAGGCGGGCAGGGGGGGACGGGCCGGTACCGCCGGCCCAGCCGCTGTGGGCAGGCCCTTGCGGCAGCTTGGGGTGGGAGCGGGGGGGACAAATCCCGGCGCGGAGGTTGAGGGGAGGCCTCGAAGGGCGAGCGGAGCCGCGGCCCAGCGGCCAGAACCGGCTGCGATGGTGGAACAAGGCGAGGAGACCTACGAGGGGGCAGCGGGGAGGTAAAGGGCAGCGCTTGGTGCTTCTGGGGTGGCCAGGGCTCCGGGGCCCCCTTCTGATGGCGGCTCTCTGAGCCTTCCTCCGCTCTCACCTTGAATTAGTGAATCATCTCGATATTTATTTTACTCCTGGTATCACCTCGCTGACACAAAACTATGCTCAAATCCCTGTTACAAAGTCTCACATCCCTGTGTTTTCCTAAATAAGAATAGGTGGAAGCACATACTTACCCGTTTTCCCAAGTCAGGGTCATTCACTCCTGACTTTTGTCACCTCCCTCACACAGCCAAAAGTTCAGGTGCATTTCCAGAGCACGTTAAGTGATTTAGGAACTTACTCCAATATGAAACATGCCCTAGCTTGGTTCCTAAGTGTCTTAAACTGTATTTGAATGTGTGTCTAGAGTGTTTTTACAAGTTTTATGAAAACTTGTATCTCTGGAATGAAATTTACTGTCGTCACCAGCTAGGCTTGGAGAGTTTGAACCTGGACTAAGGAATTAGATCCCAATCCAGAAGGAGAATTAAGCCCATCTGTACTTTGCTGGGCCAGGGCACTCAATGCCTTGTAAGTATGTATAAGCAGAGGGTTTTCTTAGAGAGATAAAATTATTAGGAAGTAGGAGCAGAGAAAGGATGGAATATTATGAATTCTCCAAATTATTCTGCTGGCTTCTGCAAGAAAGCAAAGCAACACTCATTAATCTACCCAGTGAACAGTATCAAACGTGTGCTAGGAACCTCTGCTCAGAGAAAGGACACAATCCCTACTTTGAAGAGAATAAACCATCTGTTAAAATACTCTGTTTTCTAGCAGTAGAGATGCCACAGTCAATGCTCCCTAAATCTTACCTTTTCCTGCCCTGTACAGATTTAGTATGGGACATACAGCTGAAAGTAGCACCACGTCTTTTATTCCTGCAGCCAGTTTTCATCAGTACAGCCTCAGAGAGCAGCAAATCTTTCTCTACAATCCGGATGAAAACTAAATTGCATCTCTAAGCCAAAACCAAGATTACTTCAGCTTTTCAAGGTTTATTTCATTTCTTTCTATTTTTTTTTTTTCCAAATGAGCAACTTATGTTCTAACATCTGTAGTGGTAGGCAGAGTTTTGTAAGGCCACAACTATTTTGCTTGCCTAAGAGACTTTTTTTTGGTAAAAACTAAGGCATTTCTGATTTATGGCCTAGCCACAGCTACCGGGGATGTTCAGAATCTCTTTTTGCCAATCATTTGCAAAAAAGAGCTAAAAGAGATGTGACATTCTCAGCTTTGAATTTTCTCACTGCAATTAATTGGTATCTCCTTAATTGACTAAAAGGAATGCTGCAAAAAGTGCTGGCTTTGAAGCCCTTTTATAATAGCAGGCAGCAGGATGGGAGAAATGTGCATCCAGGACTCTCACACAGCAGAGGGAGTTGCAATCCCCAAAGGAACGGGAGGCCAGACCTCTTATACAGTTGTTTTAAAAATTATTTCTTGATATGTTTTTCTTTCCCTTTAGATCAGTGGGGAAAGAATGTTAACCTAAACTCTTGGGGGAAGCTCAATCCTTCACATACCTCTTTTTTTTTTTTTTTTTTTGGTTGTTTTTATTAATAGAGTTTAATGAGGGAGTTGAGCAAAGTGCAGTGATTAAGCTCGATGTCTATGGCTGAATCAGGATGGTTTGTGGGCTCTGAGTTAATGCTAAAATCGAGGGAGAGCAACTCAGTATTTGTAGTGTTTCTTAATGCCCCAGACAGCGGTTTCCTTCTCACTTCCAAGTCAGCATAAGCCCAGAGCGTACTGGCTTGGCACATGCACATGCTGAGTGAGTATACGATTATAAGAGGAGATATATAGGAGGAACAAACCAGCAGGCTTTAGAGAAACATTCCAGCTGTGAGCTTTCTTAACATGCATCAATGTCTTGAATTAATTCTGTCTTGGACAGAAGCTACTGATGGGATAGAGGAAAAGCAATTGCATCCTCCTTTGTTTCCAAATAAGTCACTTTTTCCTATGAGAGCTGCAAGTGTTATTTCTTCTTTCAAGAATGCTGTCGTAATCATCTGTCACAGCTCTCCCACAGCAAATCTTTTTTCACCATATTTTTAGCATTAGGACTCCACATGTAATAGATTATTCTCATGTTGTTTAGACTCAAAATACAGAATGTAGATTTTTTCTTAAAAGCTAAAAATGAGTAAAACATTTTAAAAGTATTTAATAATGCCTGTTGACTGGAAAGAGACATCATCCAACTTTAGGTAATAGTACTTAATTTGTGCATCTCCACTTCTATCACTGATTCCAAGTTTGAAAAGAAATGAAAAGCAATGCTTTTAGTTTATTATACAGATTATTAGTTATTTATTTGTTAATGATATTACCAGATTCCTATCTCAAGCTGTAGCAATTTCTTTTTTTAATAATTAAGAGAAAGCAGAGAAAAAGTCTCAGAAGGGAGGAAATCAGTTCCTTCTTAGTTACAGGTGACCAGCAAAAGCCCTGAACAGTGGGATTAATAAGGTAAGTCGGTATAAATAGTAGAAGGAGGACAGCAAACACATTGACGATATTCAGAATCACTCCTTTGCTGTTATCTTTTCCTGCCATGGTTTAAGCAAGCTTCTTCTTGAACTAATTCAGGATGCCTCTGCCATTATCTTGTCTGGAAGGCTGCTCGATGTCTTCATCCACCCAGAAGTTAGAAACCTTATCATAATTGCCTGTCTTAGGAGAAATTACACTCCTTTGACCATGGACCAGTATCATCCTTTAACTTAATTAAATAGCTGTGTCTCTTCCTGGTATCTACTCTTTATATGTATTTATAGAGCTGTGTCTCTCCCTGGTATCTACTCTTTATATGTATTTATAGAGAGTAATCACAGTCCTCAATTCTTTTAACCTCTTGTAAAACAGAATTTCTATTTCCATGATCATCCAACTAGTTGTCTTCTGTACCTGTGCATGCTTTTTAACATAAATGACTAGAAACATGCACCAGGCCTTATCTGATGTTTACTAATGCCTTATATGCGGCAGCACTAATACTTCTTCATATCTGCTGAAAATACCACTCCTGCTACATCATAGCACTTTGCATTATTCATGGCTTGTTAAGACTGGAGTGATGCCACCCCTGAACCTTCTTTGCCACCCTGAGTTCCTGGCAGCATGGCAGAAATGCTTGTGTAAATTCTTAATCCAAGTGTGTGCACCTCACCAGGTAGTCTTGCATTTTGAGTTGTTATTCAGTTAATCAAAGAAAAGAGTCCAGGCTGAAAGGAGCAATGTTCCAGTCTCATTGACCATCCATGTAGCTGTCATGAAACAGACTGCCACTCGCACACTAGGCTTTCTAGTCTTATCCAGAAGGAAATCCAAGTCCTGTTACAAAGAACAGCACATTTCAATACATGTTGCATTAAACAACTTACTGCAAGAGACAGGGACATCAAGAAACAAATACATAAAATCTAAGTTATTTTTGTTTTACCTATTCTGATACTAATAGACACCTAATAAACCTGCACTGAAAAGTGACTCTTATTTTTCTGCCCAAGTGAAATTAATTTAATCTTCCTACCGTAAATGACTATAGTTTCTTCAACAAAAACAACAAAAAATAATGCGGACAAATGGTAACAGTTTCAGAGAGGATACAGTATGCTTTTTTTTTTTTTAACACTTCTAAAGCTGCTTATGAAAATCATGGATTTCCAGTGATCCAGAACATACCTGCATTTAAACCTCTTTAATTTTCATAGAATGTGGCCATGGCTTATCCTGTTAATCATGCTAACAGCATTGTCTGATGTATTTCCTTAGCACACTTACAGATTGGACTGTAATATTCTGCAGACCTAGAATATGTTTATTCAAGGGTTTAACAGATGGCACAAATCCAGTTGTAGGGATAGCAGCCAAATGAAGATTTTGTTAGTGGATGTTGATGCTGCCATTGCAATGACATTCAGGATCCCAGTTATCTCAGACTCCAGTTGTTCTAAGTGTTATACAAGAAATATCTGTTTTGTAAGTATACGGTTTGGAGGGATTGTCTAACAGCTTACCAAAACATTAAAAATCTTGTAGAATTTCTCCATTGTTATGCAGGTGTTTTCTTATGCATTTTTCTAAATGGACCAGTTTCACTTGGATTTATAGTGAATTTCCACCATTCCCTAGATGCGCTTTCACAATATTCCATCTGTAAGCAAGGCAAAGGGATGCTTAAGTGTACATCAGAGCAGTTTCACTTTTGAAATGCAATTTAAAATAAACACAGAACATTAAAGATAGTTTTATTAGTCTAGATACTGGTTCTTGTTTGACATTTAACATCTTAAGGTGGTAACAGTTCCTACTGATGGAATTGGGATCATAAGAATATCAAAGCTATGCAGTCATAATGAGGAATGATTAGAGCATGAAGGTTCACCACCTGCGATTTTAAAAGAAGTGTGGAATATTATTATTTTTTTAAATTTTAAAAAGGCATCTTCATTCTATTGTATCTCAAAGAACAAAGTCTGTCTTGAAGCACTGGTCCCCCTTGAACTGAAGAGTGAGACCACCTCACTGAGTTCATTCCCTTCTCAGCCTGTCTACCCAGATCTGCTGTAGGAGGGACCAAGACCTACTTTGTTTAGTGAAAGTTAAACATTCCCACTGTGCCTGAATGCAGCCATCAGCGGAGCAGGGCTCCTCTTATAAACAGTGTATGAAAGGCTATAAACAAAGCTAGGGCAGTGTATGAAAAGCTGCAAATAAGGTCATTTCAGGTCTACCTTTAGTTTAAACTACTGTTACTAACACCATACAGTCTTTCTCATTGGTATCTTTTGTCTTTATTCCTCTTAGCAAAAGCCCAGAGGCCAAAGAAATGGAAAAATTCACTCATCTGGAAGCTCTGCTGTTTGCTGCTGTGCTGGAGAATTGTGTTGATCAGCTCTCAATTCTTGGGTATATCATGCCAGTTTCATATGAGGGCCAGACAGACATCAGCCATGTACGTGCCCCTATCCTTGTTCTTTAAAGTAATCTCTCCTTGTTTTCTTCTTGTCTTGGTTTTACGTTTTCTAGCAGCATCTTTTTTAAAATCAACTGAGATATTTTTTCTTCAAAGTCCTCCATGACCCTTGGGTGAAGAAACACAATAAAAGTGCGTGGATGACCATTTTAATATTTATACTGCAGCATCTCTGAGAAACTTTTGTCAAGACTTTGAGAAAAGGACCCTACTGACACAAGTTGAGGTTCCTGGGCTTGTAATTTTAAATCACAGCAGTAGGATGACAAGCAAAAGATTAGAGAAAAGGATCTAGGTTCTTATACAGATAGGCAGCAATTTTAAAAACGCAAAAGAATAGGTTATTTGAAAGTGCTCAGATGCAGGGTATTTCTGTTCATCTCTAAATTCACGCTAAAGATCCTTGAGTCCCCACAGACAATGAATTAAGAAAGATTCCACTTCAAAATATGTTAGTAACACCCCATTCTCCCTGAAAATTATAATTTGTTCATTTCTAATAAACTTCCTAACTAAGAAGGCTTGGGTAGAGATACAAAGAACAGAGCAGCAGCCCTAATGCTCAGGCAGAGGTTTATTGCTGTGGAGGAAGGTGGTGTAGTATTTCTGGTGGCTGATAGAAATAAGAAACAGGATGGGACCACCCCGAGGGGTAAATGCTTCTAAGTTCTGTTGTCATGTATTTTAAGTGGCATAGCAGGCTGTTTCCAGTTTAAGCAGGTTTGAAACTCTTTTATAAGAGGAACTCAAAAGAAGAAAAAGAGTATGTGATCAGGATGGAAATAAAAACAGGAATCCGAGTTTTCAGATCTAATGCTGTTCACTCTGCCTATTGTACCACTTAAAAATGCGAGAGGAAGGTAAGTCAATATGTTGTTTCCTACGTGCTTCCTTTCAATACTACGTGCTTTTCAGAAAATCCATTGTAAAGCAGCAGAAGCTGCTGTTTACAGCAAATTTCAGGGCCTGAACGATACTTAGACTGTGCAACAGAGGGCACTCCTCCCTTTAAAAGAGCCCTGCCAACCAACCTCACCTCCTTCCAGAGGCGGCTGCTTCTTCACACAGCTGGGTAACCTCCCATGTGCCAGCAGCACAAGCACAGAAAAAAGAGTGTATCGCCAGGACAGTAGCACTTGTTCTTCAGACACACAGACTCAGGCTGATAGACATGCTAAAGGTAGACATTAATTATAGAGGAAACACCTTAGCTTTTCTCTTCAATCACAAATGTTCATTTTTTCCAAGTCACTTCTTAAAACACAAATTTTCTCCCAGACTATAAACCCTACTTGTGCTCCTGAAGATGCCAAAAGAAATCGAGACACAAACAATTTAGAGACAAGAAAATGTCTTAGAGAAGCTACTTGCTAACTTTGGTGCTCTGTAATTTGCTGCTCCTCCCTGTTTCTTAGTTTACATTTGGCTGTTATCCTTGGATTTGTAGACAACCTGTATTTGCAAAGCACCCTGGAGCTCTGTCAGTTAAACAAATCAATGACATTTTCAGAAATTGACATCTGAATTTCCATTGATGACATTTTTGAGAGGATTAATTGCAGTGTTGGCCAGCACCTCCTTGATTTTCCAGATCGGGGACTCTTGTGCTTTGCTTTGCACAGTGTGTCCACCAGAGGAAGGCAGCCTTTCTATTGGCTGAATTTTGGGCAAAAGACTAGAAAAAGATAAACAGCTAGGAGACTACACAGATACAGTTTACAAACTCCTTGTTCTTACATAGTTATTTGGTAATTATTAGTTTGTAACTCCTTGCTATTTACAGACAATCCAGTTATAGCCTGGCTTGAACTTTCCCAGACATTAAAAAACATCTATCAGAACATTCATAAAATTTACATCATATTACAGGAGTTTGCCAAAACGAGTTCTTTCTGAAGTACAGCCATCACCAGCAAACTATTTAAACCCTTTTTTTCTAATCAACTATGTAATTTTCATTGGCCTGTGTGTACTTTGCATGCGATTCATTTCACGTCAATTGAGCTGTCGAAAAACTAAGCATGTAGTCACCTAGACTCCTTCCGTAGTCAGTGGTGAGTCAGGCACTGCCAGAGGCTGATTAATCCCATCTGGAAGTGTCCAAGATATTCAGAATGAAGTAGTGCCCAGCGCATCGCCCTCAGGGACTACAGCACCATTGCAGACCACTAACGGAGCCTCGCTCGACAAGTAGCTTCTTGGAGAAGTAACTGGTGTACACAGTTGCTGCCCTGACCCCTTGTTTTCACTCTGCCCTCTGTGCTGTGTTGGGACAAATGTGTATGTGGCTGTGGAGGGACCTGGACTGAGAACTGGTGCTGCTAAAAATAAACTTTTCTTTTTTCCCCTTTCTGCTGGAAAATGTCTCAGCCCAATGAGTTCTCTGTTCCATTTCCCTGAGCAGCCAGGGTGGGGAGTAGGCAGCTATGGACAGGATGGGGCTGGCAGTGCCTGTGTCAGCTGGCTTCAGTAGTACTGCTGTTAAGTGTTCAGCCACAGAGATGCCAGTAGGGGGGCAAGAAAATTTTCTTTTTTAATGTCCCATTGTATATACCAGCATTCTTACTCATAGCACATAAAGCAGAGAAGTTCCTCGAAACAAGGCCTCAGCAGATTATATAGTATCCTTTTTTTTTCTGGGGCTTTTTTTATTTTAAGAAAATTGTGCACAGCCACAAGATACCTTTCCATGTAGAAGAGAGCTGCCAATATTTTGAATTTCATCTTGAATTCATGTTATACTTCCTTTGCTGTCACTCTCTCAGAAAAACAGCTAAGCAGATAGCTGATGTCTATCACTTTTAATTTCCACACAGCTCTGCTTTTGTTATAACAATAATACTGTAGGGAAAGATGGTGGTCACAGGCAGTGGGAAATGGCAAAGATGGAGAGAAGAGAGAAGACAGAGAAGAAACAGACTAATAGTCTTCTAGTACATAAGAGCAGCTGCAAAGAAGGAAGGAATGATTTGTTCTCTGTGCCTACAGAAAGCAGGACAAGAAGCCAGGGGCTCAACTGCAGTTGAGGAGAAAAAACTTTCTTATGGTGAAGATTGTTGTGATGTGCTGGTACTGGCAGGAGGGTGTGTAGTCTCCATTGCTGGAGGTCATCAAGAACATGTCAGGAACAACACAGTCTGAACCATCATCTGCTGGGGCAGATGAATTCACTTTTTGAGGCCTTTTCTAGTCCTGTCACTTCAGGACTTTTGATCCTGTAAACTCTAATAGGCCTATATTGTGTGCTCAGAGCTAACCAAGGTAAACGTTTCTATTCTTCTACTCTTGCAGAATCTAACATACACTATCAGCTGCTCTTAGTATACCTTCATTCTAGTTCATTATTCATTTTTCTTCCTCTTACATAACGTTACAAAGGGTTTAGTTCTACTGCCCAATGTGCAAGCAGGTGTCTCTTATTCCCTTTTAGACTGGCAGCCACGAAATTAAAGAAATCATAGAGACCCAGAAGGAGCTGGACAAAGAGCTTATGTCAGCAAGGGAAGGGAGTGGGGAAACAGTTACCTCCACATCGCCGAAAAGTGTCGAACACAAGCAGCAACTGGAGAAAACTGAAGATCTAAAAAGTACCCATCGTCTTTCCAAAAGGGCCACAAAACACAGTGCTCTGTCCATAGAGAATCTCAGAAAAATTCAGGCTGACAGGTGAGTGAAGCACAAATACAATGACTGTGGGGGATGCTTAGAGCCGTAAAGTTCTCAGTCTATCTTTTGACAGCAAAAATACAAGCTTCCTGCTCTCCCACTGTTGATGTACCTCAGTCTTGGTCCAGAAGAAAAGCAGTGATGTCTAGCTTCACAGGCCATTTAGTTTTGGCCTTTGCTTGCTTCTGGATGCCAAGTAATGACAATCAGTTAATTTTGAATGGAGTTGCAAAATATTACCCAGTTAATAACAGCTGCTTGGGTGGAATGCATGCCAGGTGATTCCATGCCATGGAATTCATCAGCCCATGCTGATATTCTGGTATCAGGAGTCAGGTTCCTCTAGCAGATATGTACAGGCAAAGTGGGATCTCAGCATTGTCTCGTGAGCTCACTTATTCTGCAGGGCACACAGAGCCTCTATGGCAGCTACAGCCATTCTCCTTTATAGAACAGATATATAGGTATAAAGGTATATATAAAGATATATACAGGTATAAAGACCAAATAATTCCTTTTTAAAAATAAATGTTATTCCTGCACCTAATCCAGTGCATTGATTTGCAGAAATACCAGCAGCCTTTGGTTTAAAAGACAGACTGGAGAGCTGAGCATTCAGTATTCATTTTTCTGCATCCTGGCTTCTGTCCTTTAATATTATTTCAGCAAAGGGCTTAAAGAAGATCCTAACACAAAAGAGAAAAACGCAGCTAAAATATAACTACCATATGCACCATGAAATTCAGTAAACTGGATAAGCACATGTGTTTATTAAGATCAGCTTAGGGCTGTACTGGGGTATTTTTGGCACCCAGATACCCCTTCATAGACACACTTGTCTGCATCCCCAGGTCTCATTTTCCAAGATCCACTTGTCTGTCACCACTACTGCAAGGCCAGCAGCCTTCTTCCTAATGGCAGCACAGTCTGGCACAGCATGAATATGGTTTTGCTTCTTTGCTACTTCCTAGAATAGCATTCAGGGCAGCATTTTTAAATTATATACTTCAACCAACTCCAAATACAGAGTTCTTCAGACGTACAAGAAGCAGGTACCATGGCAGAAGCGTGAGTTTGATAGGACATAAGCACATAAATGTGATCTTATATTTCCTTGAACTGTAAAGGTGCCAGACACTTTAGTACCAGCACCTATAAATTACTGTTGTGTTCCTTTTCTCCCTGGCAGGCAGTATGCAAATGATGTAATTACAGTCACTATGAAAGAGCTGCAGGAATCAGGAACATTTAATAGCCTAACAGAAGCTAATGAGAGAGAAAAGGAAAAAAAGAGCAAGTTTCATGACATCCTTATCAGGTCAGTGTTGTGTTCAGTACTTCCCTGCTTAACTGATGAAACCCAAAGGCCATTTCTGCTCTGTACATGCTAAAAAGGGAAAAAAAAAAGCAAGCCCCCAAAATACAGAAAGGATTCTGCTTTTCCAACTTGAATTATTCTGTCTGCTTTACAAACTTCACTTCTTTCCCCTTCAGAAAGAAATATCTGGTGGTTCTGATACTGATCTGAGCTAGGAATTGTCTGAGCTTTGACCACAGTGGACACCAGTGTCTGCATTAACGCAAATGCTGCCCTATATCAATTAAAACATAATGTGATGTAGGAGCTCCCAGATCTTTTAACTCTTGTCCCCAGTGAAAGCCAGAGCAGCAGAGAATCTGTTCAAATCAGGGCCAACAACATATGGTCTTTAGGTTATGTGATGCCCAGGAGAATCTGCTCTGACCTATATGCAAATATGCTCCCTTTTCCCAGTAGCAGCGAGGGGCTAGCACAGATGGTGGCAGAGGCAGTTGTCTTATTTAAGGCTAATCCATCAACCACTGTGCTATAGAACCTCTTCTGCCCCAAATCTTCTAAATTTCAGATTTGTTATCATCTCAGCTCAAACTGGGGATTCCTTAGTTCAAACTTCTGTGCACTAGAGGTTTGGAGCTTTTTGGCACGGGAAGCTCTGGTTCAACCCCAAGCCTGTCAGAGCAGTCATCAGAGAACTATGTGACCATTTTAAAGCTACTTTGTTCTGTGTAGCAGCTCAGGCCCATCATTTAGGGCAGACAGCAAAGTTGCTGGAAGTCATGATTTGTCCTGAGTCCAATGTACTGGAACAGCTCCAGTGGTGGCTCATGGGTCTGCCTCCAGGACGAGTCTCCAGCTTCCAGTGAAAAGTGTGATTTCAAGCATGAAACCCAACTCTTCCACTATCTAAACCCAAAGGATTTATTGTTTATCTATGGAAGAGACAGAAAGCAAAAATGAAAGCAGCAATTGCTTGTAGAATAACTGTCCAATACTAGAAGGCAAAAAGGAGCAGACAAATTATAATCAGAAAGGACACAATCCTTTTAATTCCATTCTGTCAATCATATCTAGCCACTATGTTGTCTGTTCTACTACACATTCTTTTCATGGAATGAACTTGATCCGTCTTTCAATATAATACACACTTGCCTGGTTTTGTGTCAATATACTAGTCTGAAAGCAGTCTGCGGTAAGACTGGAACTCCTTATCAGGAGCTTTTGTTCATCACAATCACTCAGCTAAAGACTCTGAAAATGAAATGCATGTTTGATTGTAAGGTTGTGATGGGGTACAAAGTCTCAAGTACCAACTGTAGTATTTACTGGCTTTAAATCAAATCATGTGCATTATTAGATTAAATTAGAAAAGCACTTTGAGTGAAATAAGATAAGACCTAGAACAAAACATTAGCTGGATTTTTTTTAGACAGGTAAACACTTCTCTAGCTTTTGGCCTTCACTCATATCCCTTCATGGATCTCAGAACCTGAGGCAGTGTCTTTTGAAAGATTTTAAGTCTGATATAAAAAATTCTCCATACATATAATGAAACTTAGACAATCTGGCACTGTCTGCTGCTCAGGTCTGCTTCTGCACAGAATCAGGGAGATTTTTGCTTGAAATGCAGAAACAGTGACTCAACCATAAGCATCTTCCCTCTCTGCTGTAGGAATTGCATCGTCCTTAATTCCACTCCAGGCTTTCAACAAGAGCATCCCCTGTTATTTGGCTCATTCTCCCTTCCATTCCCATCCTCCTTGCTCAGTCTGTGCACCTCTTCTTTCAGGATTTACTTACCAAGTCACTAGGCTTGGTGAGAAGTCTCTGGGACTTGCAGATGTGCTGCTCCCCGAGGCTCAGAGTGAAGAGATAGATGCCTTTCTTGCTATTTAGCCATGGGAAGCAGCTTGCCTTCTGCTGGTCTGAAGAAGCAGGCCAAGCTTTTGTGTGCAATTCTTTAAGTTCAGCTGTTAGAAAGTCATTCATTGAGCAGGATAAGTGGAGCAGTGCTCAGCGAGGTGCCAAAATGTATCAGGAGACAGGAAGTCCCCCTTCTAGGTAAACAGCTCTTGTCTTTCTTGATTTATTCAAGTGATTGTGTTTATCCATTTTTCTTCAGGGAGGAGGAAGGAAAGAAAGAGATAAAGTCACTTGGGGAACAGCTGCAAGATGTCAAGAAAGAAACTGAAATAGAACTTCAGGTGAGATCACTTAGCAGTGGGCATCATGCCAGGGGGGAAGCCTGTTAGCAAGCTGGCCCCTGCTGCCCAGGAACTAGCACTCAGATGAGAGGACGTGTGGCATATATAGTGATCCATCATTTAGGAATATAGAAGCAGAATAACTGCAATAAAAATTTGTATTCCGAAAAAAGCCTGCTAATGAGTTTAAGAGCAGCGTCCAATGGGTTTCAAATGGGAGCTTAAAATACTCATTAATCCTGAGAGACCATGATCAAATTAGAATACCCCAAAACCACTGTTCGGAGTGGCAAAGCATGGACATCTGCAATCAGTAAGGATGAGGTTATCTGCAGATAGCAGTATCTAAGATTCATGCTCACTGATGCAGACGTGACACCTGGCACAGAAGAAAGTGTGACGATGAGGGAGTGAGAAAGACAGACACTTGCCATAAGGGCATGTCATTTTTCTACATACAATTTTGTTTGGGGAAAATGTCATGATTTTAATATCTTTTTCTAGTCTTCCAGATACTAGAAAATCCCAAACATGGGAGTCCTATACAAGGGCAGATTAATGTTATTGCATGTATGCTGTCAACTTTATCTTTCTGGAAAGCTTCAGCCCTTCTGTCTGCAGTGTGCAAATAGTGTGTGCGTGCAAAGCAAACCTGGGACATTCTGGAAATGTCAGGCTTGCTACACAAGTGCAGATCAATTGAATGGCATATCACAGGTCACTGTGATGCTCACCAGGCAGCTCAGACTTGATGCTCGTGCGTGCGTTAGAGCAAAAGCACACACAGTTCTGTGCAGAAACAGGGAAACGTTGCCTGGCCCTGCTGAGGCAGGAAAGAGTGTGTGACAGAAAACAAGCAAAAGGCAGGCAGGTTCAGAGCTATACAGGGCCTGGGAGAAGGAACAACACTCTGATGCTTGGTTCAGTGTTGAGCAAGAGGACAGCAAAGGCATCTGAGGAAAGAATCGGCGTCACTGAATTTTGTCTTTGGACAAAGCGTGGACAGTAATCAAGCCAGGGTCTAGTTGGCTACAGAGAGGAATTTTAAGCCACTGACATGCTGGTGAAGTACAGTTTATGGAACAAGGAGGTTTTTGAAACCTGGATGCATGTGCAGTAGAAAGTTTAATTGTAAATACAGGATGGTTGTAACAACATGAAAGTTCTATTGGCGCTGGCAGTGTATGCAGCTATCTATAACTGACTGAAGAGCAGAAGTCTGGGAAGATATTAGAACTTCAGAGAAGAAAGCAGGAAGGTAGAAGATGGGAAAATTCATGTAGGTCAGTACTCACCTACCAGCAGGAATCCTGGAAATGTGTAACATATACTGGGAAGTGTAACAGGATGAAAAGGACACTGGAAAAAAAACTGTGGACATAACAGAGAGGAGAAAGAAGAGGAGTCACTGAAGGAAATGGAAAAGTTAGAATCTTAGGAGACACATCAAGAAGGAACAGTTGTGGGAACTAAAAGAGAAATGCAGGATGAACTTTTTTTCCCTACAGTTTGGACAGAAAATCTAAAGGATGTAGAGGTGAGAGCCAGGACTGAAAAGGGGAGCTATATACCCCAGTATATAGTTACTGCCACTGGAAATGGTATGGGAGCCCATTTCCAGGCCCTATGAGACGATCTAAAAGTCTCTTGACTCTTGTGGCAGTTAAATGAAATAAGCTGGATGGTTTGTCAGGCTCAGGGACTGTACGTTGTCTGTTTTCTTCTGCACATTGCCCCTTCTCAGTCAGATGGCTCCTGGGAAGCTCCTCTTCTTCCACTCCCCAGGCTAGTGAATATGATGAGGTAGTTCTCCTTCTGTGTAGTGCTCCTCAGACCTCAGTGTTTGTGCACACAATATACATCTTGTTTAATGCCTTCCCAGACACTGGCATGTAGGGGGCTCTAATCATCCCACCTCACACTGACAGCATGGCCCTGGCACTGTGTCCCTGTGTCCTGCCCTGCTCCTCTCCTGCCTCTTGCAGTCATAAGAAGGTGTGTAGCTCCCATGCTGAGAGGGTGCTCTTCTCCATGTTCTTTCAGTACCTTCTGCTAATTTAGTTCTTGCTTTTTGCCTCATCAAGTGGGATCTCCATTCATCTGGGATTTTGTTTTTTATTTCCAGCTTAAGAGTAATTTTCTGAGCTTCCTTATAGTTTCAGCTTTGATAACAAATCAAAGACCAGACTACTTTCAAGTATTGCTTTCCTCCTGTGCCAAAAAAAATGGTGTCTCACTGTGTCTCCCAAGGGAGAATAATTTCTATTCGCTTCATATGGGATTTTCCCATAGGCAGTGTTACAGACACTTGCATGATTTGTCACCTTGCCAACTAATTAAAAACAAAAATACAGCTTGCTGATTTGGAGTACTTTGAACAGTAATAACGAACAGACCTGTAGACAAAAGACAACATGGTTGTCTCCAGTCTAGTGGATGAGAAAACAAAAGCGAGCAAATCTAATCACGGAACCAGAAAAACACGGTCTTTGCTTCACGCATGTTGCCTGTATGTTTGTATTTTCAGCCTTGCTGCCTCTTAATGAGATGCTAATTAATGCTGCATTACTCCGCTCAGCTCATTTTTCTTCCTAATGGAGCACAAATCAAATGCTAAATATTCTTATTTACTTTGTTTTCATTCCTCTTGGAAAGGAGTGATGTCTCTAAAGGAGCTGAAATGACTGGTCTGGTTTTGCTCGTGCCCCTCGGTGCAGGAGCATCACCGAGAGCTCTAGTTTGGCTGCAGGAGTTCTGTTTGCTGCTGCAGTCTTCATTTTCTAGCTTGTACAAAAATACTTCCTCTAGTTTCCTGGACAAGTGATGGCAGTCTGTACAGATTTAAAACAAGTTAATATCATATAGGATTACATAGTTTAACAAAATAATTTAGGAAACTTTATAATTCCTGCCTTGCCATTCACCTACAGGGCTTTTTATGTCCTGTGGGTTTTGTGGTATACTCATGCTATATGTGTGTCCAAGACATAGTACAATTTTATAACAAGCAGTAATACTGCAGGCTACCTACCAGACAGAAACCCACGACACTGCACCAGGGTACCAGTGAAAACAAGTCCGTAACTTTTATTCCATGTGGGCTCTCATAACACACTCAGCTCCACTCTCCCAGTGCTTTTAGTGTGACTGAAATCCATCATGTTTCTTCCCTCATCCTCTCCCAGGAGGATGAATACATCAATGAAGTGTGCTGGGGGAATTTCACTGAATTTCTAGAGTTGGAAGGGACCATAGAGATCATCTAGTCCAACTCCCCTGCTGAAGCAGGATTGCCTAGAGCTAGAGCATGTTACTCAGGACTGCATCCAGGTGGGTTTTAAACACATATACACACCTGCTGGTGCGTGTTTCTACTGAGGAAGTGCACCAGGCGATTACAGTAGAAGGCACAAGGCGTGTGATGGTCCTCAGCTCCTGGGTGACTTCACTGCCCCAAGGCAGCTCAGTGGGACCTGGAGCTGGTGCACTAGATCCAAACCTGGCTCCAGAGGGACGGGACTTTCCACAAGAGCACTGCTGCCAACAGCTCTGCTCCCTTGGCCAACAAAGTGCCCCTCACACAGCTCGCTCCCACGGATGTTGGGACGGAGGTGAGCTCGCAGAGGCTGCATTGGGTGTGCAGAAGGGGTTTGTCCCACTGCTGGAGGAATTCCTCAAACTGTTGGCTCCTGTTTGCTGTTTTTGTCACTAGCCATATTGTAAGTGGCTGTAAATACTAATTGCTGTGGGAGAGCTGAGAGATCTAGGTGGCACTTGCAAGAGAGATAAATCAAAGTAAATGAAAACGCAGGAGCGTGCATGCCCTTTCCAGCTCAGAGCAGTGGCTTTTGCAGCCAAACAGCATCTGTGGGGCAGGCTCCTATGGCACCGGATAACAGCAGCAGCCAGGCCTCTGAGCTGATGTCTGCCAGCTGAGAGATCAGAGAAAAGCAGCTTGTTTACCTGCTTGCGAAGCAGACTGGCTCTTGACAGCTATTTCCTGGGGTTTGATCTTGGTCTCTGCCCGTTTTGTGATAGTTTTGGACACAGGAGGTATGATTTTGCATCTTTGGTTTGGCAGATTCAGCGCTGAAGTCACATCCCAAATAAGCAGCCCAGAGGTTTACTGCAGTAACCATGAAAGTGCTCCATGTCTTGGCTGGGACCTCTGCTGTGATAAACCAGAACGAGTAAATATTAACTCATTTTCCCAGTGCCTGTCCCTGAAGTTCAGGAAACAGCACGCTCTACAGATGGTGCCCACAGCTTGTGGGAATTCATTGCTGCATTGACTACCTGCAGCCCCACACCAAACGTGTCCCAGTGCAGCAGGGCCAGGGCCATGGGCTGGGCCGCAGTAGCTGCCCACACGCCCGCAGCCCACTTTCCCTCTCCGAGCCGAGGGGTTGCTGTAAAACCACCACTGGGGTTTTGCATTTCACTTCCTGTCTGCTTTGGATTGTGTAACCAAAGCCCCCAGACTCCCCACCTCTAACGAAGATGTTTTACAACACCACAGCCCAAATCCAAACCGCAAACACGCCGTACAACAAAGAAAACAAACAGAGCAGATGGGCCCCCATCCCGGCTCAGGCCTGGGGCGCTGGCATCAAAAGCACTTTTCCTCTACTTTACTAAAATATGAAATGAAAAAGAAAATAACTTGGTGAAGTGTTCATGCTCTGCCCCACCTCTCTAATAGCCAAGTACTTTGTAAACCAGGCTGAGCCCTTTTTTTTCTGACCTATTTGCAGATCCTTAGCAGAGAGCAGTAACACGCTGCCATCAGCAGCACTTGGCTTTGCTGAGCCTCAGTACCCCAAAAAGTCAGTGTTCTTCATTAGGATCTCCCCAGTCTCTCTGCCAGCCCCTCAATTTAGACATGATTCCACCATGAGACAGGAAGACAATCTCAAAATAAAGTGGTGTGGTCACCTCCCGTGTCTACTGACCCCACACAACCTCTCCCAACACCCACCAAAATTTCACACCGGGGAAAACAAAGGCCATTACCAGAAACCTTAACAGGGCACAAATAGGTCATGTCTGTAGCTGTCTGCAGTCATATGATGATATGTCTGTAAAGTAATATCTGATGTTGGAAACCTTCAAAAAAATTTGAATGCATGACTTCTAAACCCACAAAACAGCATCAGCCAAGGCCCCTAATTGTCTTGAGCCTTATAAATATACTTTACTCTTCCTAACTATGTCCGACAAGGGGTGCAGAGGGAAGGATTTTCCTTTTAACTGCTCCAAACTCTTCTTATAAGGAAACCTTTTCCAAATGAGTCACGCTGCAGAGGCTTTGAAACACAGCACTGTTGAGCTGGCTTCTTCCCGTGGCATTTTTCCATGTTTACAGAGCTAAGGAATGCAAGGGTGCTTCAGAGACAAGATACGTGGGCTTCAAAACATTGAAATGCCAGCACTTTGGTATTTCATCTTCAGCTGCAAGGTCTGGCTGATGAATGTCAGACCTGTCATGGCATGGCAGGGAAGCAACGAGAACGGCTGTAATGGAGCAACCCGGCGCCAAACCAGAGGCATTAAGATTGATCTTGCATAATTGCACAGGAGACTCTGATGACCTTTTTAACTCTTAACAGTCTAGAGTTTTTAATTTTACAGACGGTTCTTCCACGTTCCAACCCCAGATTAATAAATTTTTATCTGTTACTCAAAGAAATTCATTAAAAAGGAGTAAACAAAACCACAATTCCAGATCAAGCAAATGCGCTTTTCGCTTCCTGAGCACGCCCCAAAATGTGGGCAGACGGGGCACGTTGGCTCAGGATTCTTGCCCATAGGGGAGCTCCTGGGGACAGAATTCCCCCAGGAAAGCTCAGTTCCATTGCAAAACAGGGCACAGGGAGAGGCTGGGAGCTCTGAGCCAGCTTTTCCTTGGCACTTCTTACTTGCCCTCAGTGTACGCTTTTATAATAAAAAGTGGGCACCATCTCCCTGGTAAGATTTCAAGAAACAACTGTCTAAACATATGAGCGAGTCAAGATGAGATTTTTACCTGGTCCTAAGGTTGTGTTTATACAGTTGCTGCATAACTAGCATAACTATTCCAAGGAATACAGTATATTTTAGGAAATCAAACTTTGGCTTACGTGGGGCTGAGGCATCATCTTCCTCTTAACAGATGCTCACTGATTGAGATGGCCTAATCCCAGAGGTTACTAAAGCCTAACTCTAAGCAGGTGAAATTATTTGGCTTCTCTTGTGTTTATAATAAGCAGGCCTGAATCCGTTCCTGGACCAGAGGCCAGAGGCCTGGCTTCTTGCCCCCCTCTCTTCATCACTCTGCCCTCTCCAGAAGTAATCACTCCTCACTGATAGGTTTACTGCCTTCTGTATGGGGTAAAAACCAAACTTCCCTTTGAAGCAGAGGCTGAAATGGGGCAACATTCAGGGAACGTGTGAAGCCTATAATCCTGTCTCTTCTGAGTTTATTGGGGAGTGGAGAGATGAAGAAACAGTGGGCTGACCTCAGTCTCCAGGCTTGCTTTTGTGCTTGTCTCTCCTCCACTAGAACCGAGACGCTGTGATTGCCTTCCTCAAAGATCAGCTCCTAGAGGTGAAGGCCAAAACGAACATGGAGAGCTGCTACATGAAGAAAAGCACAGACCTCCAGGTCCACCAAACCCAGAAGAAGTGCAGCAATGCAGAGAATGCCCTGGATGAGGAAATTAAGGTAAGCCCTTCCCCACAGCCCCTACTGGAAGGCATCTCCAGCTAGTAAGGGAAGAGTCCTCCCTCTTCTCCCCAGATGCCCTTTCTGTTCTCCATCAAAGTCCTCAACAGAACTGTTTGAACTGGATCGGGAAACTCACCAGACTTCCACTGCTTCTCTGTATGGTCCTGCAAACAGCAACAGCAGGGGTGCCATGGCTGCAGGGGACAGTGGCTGGAGGCAGAGACTGCTTAAACTGATGCCATTGTCAGAGGAACGTGCCCATAACTATGTCCAAAGGCTGCAGTTATGAGGCCATTTAGCAACATAAGCAGCCCGAGCTCCCAGCATGGCCCACAGCACATCATGCTGATAGAGCTGTTTGTGTGGCCACGAGGTGAACTGGACTAGAAAAGTGTTCCGGTTTTGCAAGCTTTTTTTTTTTATTATTTTGACTGACCAAGGTCTGATCTAGTTGTCCCTTTCTCATGGATGGCCCAGGGGCAAGGGCTGCCTCGGTTGGTTTTGTCACTGGGAAAAACCTGTGTGGACTATGCAGAGAGCTCCTTCACGTGCTCTAACATGGTCTCTCCCATTTTCTGTCTGCACTGGTCACAGAAGCTGAAGAGCAAAAGTGATGAGGAGATTCGAGTCCACGTGGAGATTGATAATTTCCTCAGGCGACTCCATCAGGTATGTGGCACTTTCTGCTAATGCTGCCAATAGCAACTGGGAAACATTATCAATTAGTGCCAAAAGAAAATGAGTTATTTCTCCTTCAAACTACCCAGGTTCATGATTTTTGCTGTTTGAATGAACACTAACCCGCAAGTCTTAATTAACCCAGCTCTCCCAGACTTGGGATTTGCTTCATTTGGATACATTTCCTTAAAATTAGAGTTCATGTAATGATTGGCATTGTTTATTCAGGCATTACATCTTTTTCCTCCCTCAGGTAGTTGTTAGCTATTCAGCTAATTTGAATTTTATTTAGACCTCCCTTGGCAGTAGCTGGGGCTCCCAGGGACTGAGTGAAGGAGCGCGGCTGCTGCTGCTCAAAGGGAGGGCAACACTTTCACACACCCAGGTGTTGCACAGAGGGGTCACTAAGAAGGAAATGACAGAAACTGCCAGCCCAGTTTTGCCTTATCTTAATCTGAGCGAGAATCTGGGCTGGATAATTGCTAACTCACAATTATTGTGCCCATTTTCAGCAGCAAACATCCAAGAATGTCCTTGTGCTGTTGATCCAAAGGTTCAGAGCTTTTGTGTCATCAACAGCAGTGCCCGTTACAGTGAATAACACTGGAAAACATCTCACAAACCGTATGACTGGAAGAAAACCTTGCTACCACAGGGTACCTCACATCACTGCCAGTACAAAACTTAATAGATGATAATAAAATGTAAAAAATGTAATTAGAATGAAAAAAATCCGCTGTATCTTGTGCACAATTAATTAGTGTCCTCTGTATCCCTGAGCCTTAGTCTCATCAACACTTCACAGTGAGGGGACTGTCCCAGCACAAGCTGCAGCCTGTTTGACCTCTACCAGAAGGCAAAGTACAAGCCCCCTGCGCTCAGACAGCAGCTGGTGGCTTTACAGGGGCCCGCAGAGAAGAGGATGGCCATGGCCCCCATCTCCCTTGTGTGTCCAGCTGTGGGGCTGTAATGAGATTGATGCTTTTCCTCAGATTATTTTTCCATGCAAGCACTCATGGTTGTTACTATGGAGAAGTTATTGGTGAATGGGAGGAAGTCATCAGGGTGACTGTTGCGGCGACACCTGCCCTCCTATTCACGAGCGAGACAAAGCCAAGTTCACAACCTGAAACAGCGTAAAGTGCTGTCCCTTGGGACCTTATTCCTGTGCACTGTGCTTAATTCAGGCAGCAGGCAGGGAGTTGGGCAGAGGATAAAAGCTTTCTTACCGTCAGATTCTGTTTCTTAACCCCCCCTCCCTCTGTGTACACAAAAAGGATGGCTTCTGGTTGTCACTTATGTCACTAGGACTGACCATGCACAAAACTAACCTCCAGTGCTTCTCCGTTCTTCTGAATGGAGACCTCTGAAAGTCCAACCTGATCTTTCTTCTGGGCTAAAAGCTCAGCACAGTGCTGTGGCTTCCATGGTGAATCCCCAGCGAGGGGTCTGCAGGCCACCAGCAATTTATCACTAGTCCTAGGGGTCTCGGCCTTTCAAGATGAGAAGGAAACACTGACTATGCCAAATTTACGGGACACTTACCACCATCCTGAGAGCAGGACATGTCATAGTAGCAAATCTTTCCCCTCTGCACTCTGTACTCTGCTGAGCACCATTCTATCCCCATGCAGAAGGTGGAAGAGAAGCTGGAACACTGGGTGGACAAATTTGAAAACGATGCAGATGCTAAAGAAGAAGAACTGGATGCCCTAAAAGCATTAAAGGCAAACAACTTGGAAACGCTGCGACAAATTGCCACAGAGGTAAGACATCAGCAGCATCTCGGTGCTCAGCCGTGCAAACCTGCATCCCAGCTTTTTCCTACCCTCAGATAGGGAACCATGGAAGAAAAATATCAGTAATCCTGAGGTGTAGGCTGCGATTATAAGCAGTGGTGCTGGGAAGGCAGGGACCGAGTAGTCATCTTCGGTTTGCCTCCTGTGACATCAAGGAGGGATGATGGTGTTTCCCCTACAGCTATTTTCAAAGAGCAGCAAGTGCTCAGAGAGCTACTGACAGCCTTTGTGAAGGGCAAAGACACTGTTCCACCCCAGCAGTACAGAAACTGCCTCAGTCTGACCAAATCTGCTCCTTCTAACAACACTGGGTACACCAGGCTGGGACTGGAAATGGCAGCTGCATCCCCTCCTGCAGACGCACAGCGCTGCTACGAGGGAACTGAGTCCAGTTAAAACCATTCCTGCTCCACTTTGGTTAATTGCTGGGCTGTAATCACAGCTACGCAGGCACAGCGGAGCAGGCAGCACAGGGCAGAAAGAATTGTCTACAAAAATGGGTGTTTTAAAGCCAGAAGGAATGAACTTGTAATCGTTCCTTACTGTCACTGGCTCTGAGATGATGGGACCGAGTTAGATGTTTCCCTGCTTGTGGGCTCATTTTTCACTCTGTACACTGTCATCTCGGTGTCCCCAGTGTGTTTGTGGATCATCTGCTGCCTGGCCTGGGGGAGCACGCCTCCTTCCCACCACCATCTGTTGCCCGAGACGCCATCAGAGAGCCATTTCACAGCACAGGACCAGAGGGTTAATTGCAGCCAGGCCGTGAGAGGTTTCGCTTTGGCAGCAGCTCTCGGTGCCGTAGGACCGAGGCTGGTAATGAGCAACATTGGCCATCTGGATTCAGCAAAGATCAAAAAAAGGAGGTGGGGGAGGAAGGTCCACGCTTACACATTACCCTTGGGCTGCCAGGGAGCTCCTTGGTGCAGAGGGTGGGACCCACGGGCCAGAGCAGCCCCTGGGGGGCTGTGAAAAGAGTGTGGCAAGGATGGGGCCAGAGGAGAAGACTCCTTGCAGCAGGTGAGCCCTGCCCTGCCAAGCTGCTGGGCAGAGCGAGCCTAGAAGGTTTGCCCTACAGTGCAGGGGATGTGTTTTTCACGCGGCTGTTGTTCCCCTGTGCTCTCCTGCAGTGCCAGATGTTTGAGGAAACCATCATCAGAGACCGGGCAGAAAGGGAGGCTGAGAAACGCCGACGAGAGCAGGAGGCCCTGGAGCTGAAGAGCATCCTGAAGGTAAAGGGGAGCCAAGCTGCGGCCGTGCCGTTCCATCAGCAGCCTGGAGTTCACCATTTGCTCCACAGGCTTTGTTTGGGCAGAGAATGGCCTGAGAGAGTTGGCCGGTGTGGGGTGGCCCAAGGAAAGGACAGATGAAGCCTGTCCCTTTCTTCTGGGGCAGACACAAAGCCAGCTGCAGGTGTTTGAGAGGAGATCAGAGGGGAGAAGCCAGTCTCCTCCAATGACTTGGGGCTGTGCTCGTCACACCAGCCCCGCTGCCTGGGTGACACAGGGACGGTCACGGGGCAGTTGCCCTGCTCATCCCCTTGCCACCAGCAGTGTCCTCAGCCCAGACGTGGGTACCTTCAGTGTCACCACCACAGGCCCAGCTGCTGCTGGGGGGCCAGAGGTGCCCTTCTGCAGCCAGGGAGCGCAGGAGGGAGGCTCTGGCAGTTGAGCTGCACCAGGTACTTCAGTAAGTGATGTCCCCTAAGACGTCGCTCTCTCTTCCTCTTCCAGCTGCAGGCCTGGTGGAAAGGGACAATGGTCCGCAGAAACCTGGGCCCCTACCAGAACCTCAAGAAGAATTTGGAGAAACAGCTAGCAAAGCAGAAAGAAAAAGGGAAGGTGGCAAAATACGAAACAAAGAAAAAGAAACGATGAGTAAAGAAACCTGGCTCCAGGGCTGTTGCTGGGCAGGGCGCTGTGGTCTGTCTGTCTGACAGGACAAAATAAACCATGTCACAGAGCTCGGGCTACTCTGGAGAACACAGTTAAGGTGACGCTGCAGGAACTCTTTAAGATCTTGAAGCTGCCCTTGTATAGCAGGGCATATACCCTTTCTCCCATAGAAAGGGCATTTGCACGAAAGCGGTGAGAAACACTAATCCCCCAAAGTATTTTCTAGAAACAGGAGAGCTTAGCAGGAGGTGATCCTGGTAACAGCCCCGTAACTCACCTCTGTGGGACGCTCTGCACTGAGGACCAAAAGCCCAAAGTGCTGTGGCTCTAAGTGAGGCAGGAGGCCACGTCACCACAGCTGGGCTCAGGCAGCGCCATCCCTGCTGGTCAGAGCTGGCGCCAGGTGGGCAGGGAGGAAGCTGCCACCAGTTTGCAGTGTGACACGGGGACAGCCAGGGCTCCATTCCCACCGCCCCGCGCAGCACCAGGGTCCCTGCTGAGGCCTGGCCCCCCTTCACGCCCCGGCTCCTGACGCCGGCCTGAGAGCGCTCCATTTCACGGTACGTCAGGTCCCTGCAGCCGCGGTGAACAAACCCGCAGGAAGGTAACACACTGCGCTGGATCAGGAAATAATGAAAAACTTCCATTTCAGTGACTGGTCTCTCAAAAAAAGAAAAAAAAACAACAAAACCCCAAACCCATAAATTGCACGGGCACAGCAAAGTCTGCTTCCAAAACTGGGAAGCTCTGTGTCTGAGCATGCAGGGAACAGGGTGCTTTTTATTTCAAAAATGAAATGAACGATAATAAAAATTAACAGTAGAATTGGGTTTGCTCTCCCTGTAAGATGGGGGGTGCTGAAATCTCGAGTCCCAGCGTGAGCGCCCTGGCCACTGGATGGGGACAAAGGTTTTTAACCCAACCAAACCCCCGTGAGCTCACGCCTCCCAGGTGGGACCCAGCAGCTCTTCCCTGGGGACCTCGGCCCCACTGACACCCACCCACCCGCCCAGCTCCCCCCGGCACCGCTCTCCTCACCAGCCCCACCGCGCTCCCTCAGAAACCAGCCTTGGGAGGAGAGAAGTGTCCCAAAACCCAGCAGTTTTGAGGAATTTTGCCAGCGTTGGCAACCGCTCGTCTTTTCCAGCTGTGGAGAGATGGGATCAGAACTGCACCTCCATGGAATTTTCTGCAGGGAAAACCAGAAATCGCAAGCCCTTTGGAGAAACTGGTTTCCAGGGAGGTAACTGGAGAAGGAAGGCTGGAGAGTGAGAAGCTGATCAGGAGGAGGTTTTAGACAGAGGGGCAGCAACTGGGAGAGAGCTGGGCGGCCCTGATGGTGGCAGGAATGGAGTTGTCCCAGGTGACTGCTGGAGGCACCGGGAGGTCACAAAAGGCCCCACAGGGGTTTGCAGCGCGTAGGATGGAGGGAGGGTTTGTGGATCTCCGGCAACTTCTAGGCCTTGAGTTATTGGGTTGTTTGTTTTAATAATAAAAACGAGCTCTAAGGAGGGGAGACAAGAGGAGCGAATGGTTTGGTTAATAAGAAGAAACCTTTCAAATTCTGCAGGGGCACGGAGCAGGGCCACAAGTTTTACAGACCAAACCCAAGGCAGGATAAAACCAAGCAAAAAGATGAGAATGGTGAGGAGCAGCAGCAAAGGGCCCACACCCGCAACGTGCATCTTACTTGGAGAATGAAAAAAAAAAAAGGGGGTGTGGGGAGGGAGGAGCAAAGGATTCTGTACAAAATCACTGCTGCTCACTGTCTGGGGAAAGCTAAAAATATCCCCAGGAAAAAGCTTCTGATGCGGCTGCAGAACGTGTGTAAAACGCTGGAATTTTCCTATCCTGGTGAACTATAAAAACAAGAGAAACAAACCAGGTCCAAACAAACTGTGAGGATGCAGAATAAACACCCGCCAGAGGCTGGATGTGACACTCACCGATGCAACACAAAAACAGCAGGAAAAACACAGTAATTCATGTAAGTTTTAAAACTTTATTTCAAATTACCCACAGTTTCTTTTTATATTATCAATGTGCTGGGAAGTTCACGCTACTGGCAGAATACAGGCAATTTCAAATAAAGTATACAATATTCAGACACATTTATATGTAACAGACTTAGAAATTATGGAATGTATTTACAGACATACAGCATGGGATGAAGCTTTAAAATCCTTTTCTCTATTAATTACACGTTTACACGCCTTTCAGAAATAACAAAATTAGATCGCTTTGTAAAACACCACAATATCTATACAAAAGAATTTTTCAGATGTCCAAATTCACCCTTAAAGTCCTCTGTTTCTAAAACTTTTTTTTTTTTTCCCCAAAGAACCATTTATAGCTGTAAAAGGGTAAAAATCCCATTTGCCATTGTGTCACACCCAGAGGTGTTCTCAGCTGCTGTAAAAAGTTCTCTCTGATTTATTTTAGGCGGGTCGCCGAGGTCGGGGCCTTTATGAAAATCTCCCCCTTCACAAGGGGGAAGACCCAAACCTGGCTGTTTTAGCCCCGACCAGGTGATGCCACCAGGGACTCCCAGGCACCCGTGTCACTCCATGGCAAGCGTGTCACCTCGCTGAGCCTCAAACCCTGCTCAGTGCTCCACAGGTGGTGACACAGGGAGTCAGTGTAGAACAAACACTGGGATTCCTCCCGCACCCTCCCACGCAAATGCCCCAGAGAGGAAAGACAATCGCCTCTTTGCTTTAACACACAAAATAGAATTTTTTTTTTTTTTTACTTTTTTTCTTAAATATTCTTTTCATGGGATACGACAAAAATTGCACATGAATACACCCAGAAATCCCAACCCATTTTACAAAACAGAACTGCAGCTGGTTTTGGTATAATACATTAAATAAACCCTATGGTGAAACTTCAGGTTTGGATTGCTGCCCTAGGCACCTGCTCGCCATTTAGTGTTTGCCAGCATGAAAATGCAGGATTATAAATGTCAAACTGACACGACAACAGACACTGGAAACTGCCAGAGTGAACCATTGCTCAGGACACAGTAAGTGACCGCGGGAGATGACGCCTGCCCAGCCCCGCAGGAGCTCACCCAGAACCAGGCACCGACAGGAAACGGCCATTTCTGGCAGTTCAGGCTCAAGCCCCCACCACATTAATTCCTAAAAAACTGGTATGAATGAAATTAGTCAAACTTCCACCAACCTGAACACTGGTAAGGTTCATCTTCCCCAAGTGCTGGAAGCTGGGCTGGAGGGAACAGCACACCCTCACAATTCCATGAAGGGAACGGTTTTCTTAAAATGGGAATATTTTTAAATAGTCCAAAAAGGGTGCCCTATTAAAAAAAGAAGGTGCCCCTGTAACAATGCAAGTGACCTAATGTTGGAAACGAAGATGAAATCTGTGGCCCCCCTCTTTCAAATGATGTGCAGAGACAAACAGGGAAGAAACACCCGTGGTCTGTCCTGTTGGCTGCGAGTGTGCAGACACCTGTATGAAATCCTGTAATGACCCACACCCCTTGCAAGAGAAATTAAGGGAAGCACAGGAGGTGCTTAAGGAGGAAAGTAAGTCCGTGAGGAGCTGCTCCCTTCCTACGTGTATCGCCATTAACAGCACTTCCATTTCTCACAGGGCTCGGGGCAACACACTCACCCGGTAGGAAAAGGTCTCTCTTTGCAGCTTTTAAATACCCTTCAGGTGTTGCTTTTTTTTTTCCCTCCACTTGCAATGCAATTAGCCAGTGCCAATAAGCAGCACTTGGAATAATTATGTGAAACAAGGGATTCAACAATCACCACAACGGACCTTGACAGAAATACATGAAGCAAAACAGAGTGGAAACAAAACCGCAAATCAAAAGGGGAAAAATGTAACTAAGAGCAGTCCTTGCTGGTGTTCCCATGGCAGCTTTAATTCAGCAAAAATGACTTCTAGCTCACCTCTCCCCGTTTCTTCTCCCTCCTTTATCCCCATGAAATCCTCCTGGTGTGTTCTGCTCCAAACACGCCCCCAGATGCAGTATCTCCGATCCCCGAGGTTGGCCTCAGACCTCGTGCACCCTCAGTATCAGTGGCACAATGTTCTGGGATGCTTTAAAATGGTCAATACATAACAAGGGAACTGCCCGGGTGGAGAACTGGACTTCGCAAGGGCTTTTGGGGGAAAAATAAATAAAAAATTATTGTACCCAATCTGGTAGTGAGCTTGGCCTCATCACTGGGACCAGCACGCACAGAGCTCCTCTTCCTCTGGCAGGTCAACTTCCCAGCAAAGCACAAGACTTGTTGGCTGCCTCTCCCATTCCTGTGTATTGAATTTCCATCTTTATGGTAAGGGAAGAGGAAGCAAGCCACGGCAGTTCTGTAAAACCAGTGCATCTCTATATGAACTCCAATGCTAAAAGGCTCTATGTATCAAAGCCTTGTTAAGCCCACAAATGGAAGCCACCCTTTTGCAAGAGACTGCTGCTGCGGGAACGTGCAGCCCACCCGGGGAAATTCAGTAATTGCATTCGTTAAGTGGTAAATTTCTCAGTGGCCGGGACATTCCGACAAGTGTCGGCACGTCTGCTCGGGACACTTCAGCCCCTAATAAACATATTATTCGAGAATGGGTTTCCAATGATCAGCGTGGCAGGCTGTGATTCTTCACGCCACAGTAAAATACATACACGGTTCTTGATGACACTGGTCACCATTTGAAAAAACCAAGTGACCAAAGGCATCCCTACAGAGGGGGAGGCGAGAGGAGGCAGGAGATGGCCCCTCACTGATGCTGGAAAAATGTTCAGATAAAGACATGTGAAAATCCCCCCCAAAAGTGAACCCAATAAGAATCCTAATGTGATTAATACAAATTGAACAGTTCTGCTTTAGTATCTTTTACTAAGCTGTTTCTTGTGGAGAAAACATGCAGGGTTTTTTTTCCCTTGGGGAAAAGAAAATTATCCTTTTTCCCTTCAAATACTAAGTACTGAGAACACACCAACACAAGTTACAGCTGCGTGAGTTTGGACCCTGTTACCAGACGCTGCAGGTTAAGATTGTGTGTTGCAAGTTTTTAAATATATAATAGAAATAGCTGTTGCTCTTTGGAGGCAAAGAAATTTCCCTTTCTTTGAACCCTGGGGGGAAGGAAAGAAATTTCATTTCCCATGTGCCCAATGTTTTCACAAACGAATTCCCCGTGGAATCGCTCTCCCAACTCTACACCCAAATCTTCGGTCCACAAGTTCAGTTTCTAGAGCTGGCTCCGACAGGCAGCCACTGGAATTCCCTGCCCTCCTCCCAATGAACTCTATTTATTTTTATTTTTTTTTTTAAATAAGGGGCAAAAATACTGATAATAAAAATGTTACTGGAAACTGTTGCGATCTCCAAAAAAAATGGAGCAACGAAGTAAAACATTCCTGTCAGGAATCACGGAAACTCATTTCCTTAGAACAGAGCTCTGTGTGTTTGGATGCACTGCACGGGCAGCAAGGTCTTCACGTCCTTCTGCTTAGCCAAGGTAACCCAAAAGGTCCCGCAGGTCTCTACACAGCAGACAAGTGGTGAAGCTGCTGCTGCTTTGGGGGTGCCAGCTCCAGGAGCGCCTGGACAGTCACAGCTACCTGTGTCAAACCCTTCTCTTCTAAAATATGTAGAGGCAAACATAATTGCTCCTGAATGGGGAACAAAACAAAGACAAAAACAAAATGGATGAAAAACACTCAACTGAAAAAAAAAAAAATAAAATAAATTAAGCAAAAGGTGACTGAAATATGAAATGTTCTGGACAGGCAGCACACACACAGGTATGGAATGAAACTTCTGCTTGTGACTAACGAACTGTGAACTCAACTGCAGGAAGGAGGAAGCCCCGGGGTCACCCTTCTGTTTGTTTACCAGAAAACTGCACAAATAGGAATTTGGAAAAGGGGGGTGGGAGAAGTGGGGAAGAGCAAACTGTCCTCTATCTCTGCCCATGCTGAAATGGCAGCAGTTTATGAAAACAGAAGTTGATGAACTTAAGGAGGGGAAAGTTTCATTTTGACATGATGAACCTGCTACAACACAGAGCGGGAAAGGAACCATGTCCTCCTTTCCACACCACAACTGCCTTTTGGAGGGAGTCCTCACACAGGGAATCTGTTGAGCTGTCAAATGTGAGGAAGGACCTGCTTCAGGGCAGAGAATGAAATGTGAGTGTGTGCTACAGAGACACTGCAACAAGTCCAAAAGGAAATGTTTTACTTAAATACTGAAAGTAATCCTCGTCTCATGAGACACACTGCCCTTGTGAAGTCCTTCTGTCTGTCTTTATGTGCTGATCACAAAAATTCCTTGGAAGGCATGGAAAAGCAGAAAGCACAGGTTGTTTTATGGAAGAAAGGAAAAAAAAAAAAAAAGACTTGCTTCTATACATGACTGAAATAACCTTGACCATGAAGGTAGAAAATGCCCTTTTCTCCTGTTGAAGGCAATGAGAAATTGACAGCGCATTTACAGGCAAATATCAATCCCCTGTTCTGTGCGAGTCACTACCGCTTATTTGTCTGCCAGAAGTAGCCCTGCTTGGCAGGTTACCTCCAAAATCCTTCTGAGGAATAAGAGTAATACGCAAAATGCAAAAAAGAGGTTTCAAAGTGTTTATTAATCATTGTACTATTCTCAGTCTAAGATGGATTTAAAGCCTCACGCTACGTTAAGTTCTTGGCACATCCTGGCCACCCTCCCTCCACACCAGCCAGGAGATGTGTCCAACACTTCTCTGTGTCTGTCCTTCCTACAGAGCTACAGAGATTGTTTCTCGTGTGTTATTTCCACAGCAACCTGCATTTCTCCACTTTTTGAATCTTTACTGATTTTTGACGAGTAAGAAATCCTACAGCATATAAACAGTTAGAGCCAACACTCCTCCCGCAAAGCTCAGAGAGGACAGAAAACAATGAAATTCTCACAGTAAGATCAGGCTGAAATACATTTTTTTCTTCCAGCAAATTTGTGTTATTGTGAAAAAAGTGTGCTTTTTGAGAAAATACTTGTAAACTTGAGCAAATATGCCTTATCTTTTTTCTCACGTATGCAAAGAGATAAGGGTAAAAGCTTTGGAATGACTCCATACCACAGACAGTCACGACAAACAAAATTTAAAAACTGGAAGGCACTGTTAGTGTAAAACCCCTTGCAGCTTTTATCACAGTGTTCATTAGAAGAAGTTAAGAAACATAGGAACCGAGTTCAGTTTAGTTCATACCAGTAAGCAGTGCAAAAATAGCTTATTTAAAAAAACCCACAACAATCTCCCCCTGTCAAAGGTCCCCTCTTTCCTCAAAAATGTTTTGCTTGGACAGAACACTGTGTGTGATTTGGAAAGAGGGCATCAGCTCCTCTACTCGCTCCTCCGTGAAGTTCTCATCGCTTTATTTTACAAGAGCCTGTGAGACCCATATACACATAACACATCCTTACTGGTAGCGACCACATTTGCAACTGAACTCCTGTGTTATCTTAAACTGTGCTCCAGAGCTGTTGCCAGGTTACCATGGGAATGCTGACACCACCGAACCCGGGATTACAAACTGTATTTTCAACTGTAACAGACATGTATTGAAAACACATTTGGAAGAGCCGTTTGACTTAACACTTACCTGTCACCAGTCCCTGAATCAATCTACACTCAGAGGAGACATGGTCTTTTACACATCCCATGGGGAGTGTCCTGAAGTTCGGAGGTGTCCCTGAGACATTAAAGTGTTAAAGCACCAGGATGCTTTTCCTGGGGAGGGAAAAGCTTTACGGAAGACTACCTGAGTTTGGTAAAACAGTGAAAAGTGACCCTGCAGCCCGGACTTATATTTCTGCAACTGCATGGTTCAAAGGTTTCCAAAAATGACAGGGTAAGAGGAAGAAGGGAATAAGCAGGACACAAGCCTGGGTTGGGGCACCCACAATTAAATAGCAACTCAAGATGTTTTTGTTAAGTTTTATCCAGAGCACAGTAAAATGCTATGACACTCTGTGGCACCTGATAGAATCTTAAAGGTTTTTTTCTTCTGTGCCAGAAAACGTTTCTCTCAAAGCTGTTGAAGAGTTTAATTTTTGGAAAATTTTCTGCTTGATCTGTTATAAAGCTCAAGTAGCTCAGGATTCATTGACAATTATTTCAAAAATCCTGACTCAAAGTAATACACCAGAGTCTACAAATACGAGACATCAAATGCTCTCAGAGGCAGGATAAGGGACAGAGGGGTAAGAAAAGAAAAATCAGTAACAAAGTCCCGTGGCCAAAACTTACTAGACCATGTCTCCTAAGAATGTGAGATCTGATCAAGAACACTGATGTTGAAAAAAAAAATACTTTGCATTCTTTAACATTTTTCATCAGATAATCTTGAAGCAATTTAACCAAAGTGGGTGCAATTCCCATGATACAGATGGGGAAACTGAGGCACAAACTGACACCACAGTTTTCCCAGAACTACATCACTCGTCAGCAGACCAGGGCAGGCGCCCTGGGCTCAGTCCCTCTCTCTAGCCCCGGGACAGCACCTCCTCCCTCGTAAAAGCGTTATATCTGCTAAATATGACACAGCAAATACAAACGTGAGTTATGTCACAGATGGTCGTGTGGGTGCACCCATGTGTTTACACACCGTACTCGTCACCTCTGTCCCAGCAGTGGGAAAGAAAGCACTTCATACACACAGTCTTGAGAAAAACCAAAATCCTTTCCCGAGCAGCGGGGTGACGGAGGGAGGAAGCAGCACCACTACCCCTCAGCTAGAGAAAAAAGACCCAGCGATAGAACATACAGAGCGTTAGCATTAGAGTACAGTAAAACACCACAAAGCCCCAGAGCTGAACGGAAAGGGAGACAAGACTGGATTCTTCTGAATCTGTCCCCAGGGAAAGAAGAGTCTCAACTGTTCTTTTAACGCTGAGGTTTAGCTGAAGAATGTCAGAAGGGGAACAAAGATTGTCCTGTCCAGAGTGTGTGAGCAGGAAGGGAAAACAGACAGAAAAAAAAAGGTCAGTCAGTTAGCCATAGCAACATCCACCAAGCAGTCAGTCATCAGACATCTCAGATACAACCGTGTTCGAGAAGCCTATCACAGCTGGTTAGTTCTCCCAAAGGAATCTGCAAGACTCCCATTGCAAAGAACTCACTCAGTGCAAATATTTAGTGTTCAGTGAGGTGCCTGTCACCTGCACAGCTTAAACACGTAACTATTCTTTGATGTTAACAACACAGCAGTTCACACATGCCTCAGCGGAAACCATTTGTCTCTGGGGGAAATGAAGAGGCTACAGGTTTCTGAGATGCTGTTGGCACTGAGCACTCACCACAGCTAAGTCCCCACATCTGTCTTAGTTAATGAAAACGGTAGGACAAGGGATTATTTACATGTAACCGATGCTTGAATGCAGCATCCTGCAGAAATATCTATTACTAATTAGAGTTTTAGCGTTCTGTAACTATTCCCTCCCTTTCACACAGGTGACTGCTGTAAATCAGTGAAATCTAGACACACGTATCAATCTGTGCAACTCTCGGTTTCTTTTGATGCAAGGGCTTTAGCCAGCAAAGTCCTACAGAAATAGCTGCTCCACTGTGGTGCCTGTAATTAGCATTTACTTAAAGTAGCCTCCCTCTTAGAAGGTAAGTATTTCTACATAGATCCATACTTTCAGAAAGCCTTTTATTTTTGTAATTAGAATTTAAATGAAAGGAAATACCTGCAGGCATCTTTTCAAGAAAAATGTATTAGGCTGCCACGCCATTCTTGCATAGGGCTATCTGAGGTTCACATCTCAGCAGATATGTAATGTAGACATGTGAGAGCAACTTGAGTGTTCAGGTCGGGGTATTTCAGTGAGTTTCCCCAGAGACACTCTCCTTGAACTCTTGCACATTAAAGCAAGAAACATGAGAAACCCAGGAGGGTCCTAGGGAGTAGGTGTGGCAGATGTAGCAGATTGGGGCTATAGGGGACTTTTCTTGAGTGGCTTTTTCATTTGTTTTTCAATGTGGGTCACTTCTGCTCTGTACTGCAATCCCATAAAAATTACATCTTCATCTTTGGAGGGACTATAAATAGGGAAGCTGGGATGGAATTGAACAACTTTGCCCCAGACGAGTTTATATCATGGAGTTCTGCTGGGAGTAAAAGTCTGAAGTTTCTTAGGGGACCAAAATAGCGCAGGCTTCTCAAAGTACTATGGATCACTTGCAACTCCCTACCACGTTCCAGCGCGATTCACCACCAAGTCATGTGAAATGGCCAGGCAGCTTCATAAATATGCTACCCCAAAATCCCAATGGCTCAAGTGCCTGCAAGTGAAGCTATCTGAAAACACCAGAAAATCCTGCATGACTGACTTGAGAACACTGCTTTTAGAAATAGCTGGAAAATGAGTCACTGGGTCTACTTTTCCCTTTCACAATACAAAAGAAAGAAACCAGCATCTACAAGAGAAACACCAATGCTCAGCAGTATAAGAAAACAAATCAGTTAATACACTAGAAGAAAAATTTAGAAAAACATGACATATCAAAACTAGTTTTACTGAGACAGCTGCTGCATAAGACAAAGTGGAAAGGACAGGACAGCATAAAACAGGGTAACTGGACTCAGAGGGACTATTTTACATGTTCCCACCCCCTAGATCTTCTGAGTTCCAGAAGGGGACAAGGAATACCAGAAGATAGACTTCTACCACTGGTACATAACAAAAGAATCAGGATCTATGCAAAGATAGGTACCATTAGAGAAAGGCCAATAATACTGTGAGTTGTTGCAAAGACAGTAAAGACCTGCACGCAAGAGAATAACTCTGAAGGAACATGAAAAGCCTTGCGATAAAAACACATACAAAGCATCATCCAAATTTTTCCCCACTTTTAAGCTGTCAGGTATCTAATATCGAGAAAATGTAATGGCTTTTATACAAACATCTTGAAATTCTAAAGGCAGACTTGAACTGCATCAGCTATTATGAATTTGAGGCAGAGCTGTAAGTGAATGAGATCTCTGATAACCTGTATCTGACTTGACTTTGGAAGGCAATGCAAGAGAAGTCTGATCTATACTGCAAGGCACAGCTTATACCTGTACTTTTAATCAGTTTGTTTTCATCAAATCTTTCAAAGGAGTTTTATTTTCTCAAGCCTCATACAAAACTGCACCTGAAACATGACGTCAGGTCAGCAGAAATACGTACCTGAGGCACTCCGATCCTCCTGCAGGCTTCCAAGAAATTCTCCACGTTTCTTCTGCATTTCGCCATTGTAAGTTTAGGCTGCAAAGAAGTAAAGGAGGCAGACGGACAGTGTCCTTAATTGGCAGGATTTTAAAAGGTCTTAATTATTTACTTAAATAAAACTCTTAATCAACCTCTTTGCCAAAAAACATACTGCACTGACATAAGCTTGTCTAACTCAAAGCAGGCTCTGTGGAACCTTGCTCTTCTTTAGAAGAGCAAGCCCAAATTTCAAAGCTATTTTATGAAAAGCTAATCTATGAATGCTCGATGTTTTTAAAAAAAGACAATTCTAAGCTGTGCAATATTTATACACAAGGTGCTATATAAAGCTAGCTAACACTTTTAGTGACTACAGTATGATCATTTTAAAAATGTTTTTTGAATGAAACACGGATGAATGGCTTCCATGCTGCAATTTCAGAGTAATTTCATGATATGAAGCAATCTGGAGTCTGTTCTGGATTACTACAATACAAAACCATATAAATATCAAACCATATTGCAATTAACAAGGAGAGAGAAAAAAAAAATAAAAGGCTAGATGAAACCAGAAAATAATGGAAGAAAAGCAGAATTGAAGCTTGCTGCTCGTAAGCCTCTTGCAGAGGCTGGCTTATGTGTTTGATGGAGCTGTTTGAATTGCACTCATGGCACTTTTTCAAGCAAGCTTTTTTTCTGCAGTTGGCTTTCACACCTCTACACAGACACACCGCAGCACGGGCACCGTCTTGTTTCTATTCTTGAAGCTTATTCTTTTCTGGTTGAAGAGACTCAAGCTTCCTGCTCCTTTGAACAAGCTGCCCACAGCCTATGTGGCAGCAGCCTCTGAGGGTTCTATACTTTCCATAAGTGGCAGGGTTTCTGGGCTGTGCCCTCAATGTGCTACATTTCCCCACTGAGAAACCAGGTTAAAGGCTGGTGCTGGCTCCTTTTTCCCCAAAGGATGAAGGGAATACAAAGATCACATTGTGACTGAGGAATGACATGATGCCTCTTCTGCTCCTGCAGCCGTGAAGGCTGCCTCTTCCTTGGGATTTATATGACAAAGCCATGATTTAATTCCTCACACAGAATATTCAACACCACATAAAACCAGGCCATTGAAAAGCTGTTCTCAATGACGCAAGTCTGCTGAATAGCGGCTGTATCCCTCTGCTCTTAATGATGCCACAATCTGCCTAAAATGTTGGCGTGTCCAGTTCAATCGTTCTCAAAATAACGAAGACATCTGCTCGTTCAGATGAAGTCCAAGGGAGAGGAACCACAATGACAGAGCAGGCAGCCCTGTTAAGTGCCAGTTCAAATTCCAACCAGCACAAAGACAGACTCCAAAATAAGGAAAAGCAAACACAACATGAGTGTTTCAACTTCTTCTCCCAGGAACAATCTTCAGGTTTTTTTCCTTATTCAATATACAATTTAAAGGTGCATAACAAACAATCTGCCCATCCATACCACTCTTAAGTAGCTGACCCTAAATATTTTCACTGAACTTTCTGGCTCCACAAATACAGGTTAGGTAAGTAATCTGTTGTTATTTTACAGTTCTTGACCTTTCTCTAATTCTGTGCTTTCCTGTCACAATACACAGTTAATGCACCCAGAAACAGATCATCTTTGTCAGTTTCCAGAAACACTGTAGCTGGGCAGAGAAACAACTCCAGAAAATTTCAGTCTTCTCTGTTCACTTTCTTCCTTGCTCTGAACAGACCCCAGATACAATCACCTTTTTTCCTGTTATCACAAACCTACAACTGGATTTGTTTTGTTCCAGGAGATGTTGTTCTCCAAGTAGCTCGAGTGTGCTATGCTCAAATTCCTAACAGAGGAATTTGTAGTCCTGTAAAGTGGACACTGGAATCAACTTGGCTTCTCTGCCTGTTGTCACTGTCTTGTGTAGTGGGATCCTAAGTGTTGTAGAAAATGTTGCATTTCCCTACTATCTGTTTTCCTGAACTTCTTGGACCTTTTGATCTTTTGAAATACCCTATTTGAGTTTTCATGCTGAACTGTCTCTTATTTCATGAGCTTTCAAGTTAACATAGGGAGGACTCAAAAGCGTTAACATTTTCTTAGAATCTGTGTTAGAAGTAACTTCATTTAAATGACACAAATCCAAATAGAATTTATTTTAATGAAGTTATAGACCCTTTTTAGACAGAACAGATAGTTATTTTTTGTCACACGTGTTCACAGAGGAGAATGCTGAATTTAGCATTTGTCTGGATTACAGAACTTTGTTGGATGTTATTCTGGACACCTACAAAATACTATCATTATTACATACTTACAACAGCAGGTGAGGGGACATGGATGCTGGGAACAGATCGGGGACGCACGTGATTAGCTAAATGGCACAGAACAACACCGTCGGTGAGAGCTGCTCCGAGATCACTGGGCAAAGACACTTTCAACCGTGATTCTATATTCTGCAGAAAAGCGAACACGAAGACAGAAAAAGGTAAGAGCCTGTTTCCTCCAACACCTCAATTCTGCAGAGCATTTCTACTCTGCAATGAGTAGAAATTCTTGTTTTTTGTGATAGTTCAAACAATTAATTAGAGCACCTCAAAAAATCCTTTTGTGCTCTCCAGAATCAAGTCTGGGGCAAAGCAGATCAGCACCTTAATGCCATGTGGGATTTTATATATTCATGTGTACTGTCATTGTACCTGGGCACAAAAGAGGAGGGTGAACAGATAAAAAGCACAAGTATATTTGTGACTCGGACGTTCTGCACTTAACTAAGGATAAGGCAAGAATCAATAGATAAATCCAGAGCATACAAGGAAACAACGCGGCCAGCATGACTGGCAGGAGACCCTGCACTCATCTGCTCATCTTTACAGTAAAGAGGAGTTTTAATAAAGAGATTAAAAGAAGGCAGTGAGGCAACTTTCCGGGGAGTTCCTTACAAGTGTGAAGGCTGATAAGGAAGAAAGCAAGCACACATTCATTTAAAAAGTAGAGATCACGGGATACTCAGAAGCAGGAGTCAGCACAGTTTATTTTAGAGAACGTGAAGCTGACCTTCTCCACCGCAAAAGCCTAAGTGAACACCACTGCATCCATCTGAAAGAACCAGACTGTACAGTGCCATTTTATTTTGATCAGCTGAGCACCATATCAGTTCAGTGAAACCAGTCCAAGGCACGAGGACAGCGTTAGCAGGGTGCATGTAATGCATTTACCACGATACTACCTCCTGGCTCCTGACAGCACTTACCTTACGTAGCTGCTCTATGAGCTCCAGCTCCTCCTCTCGCTGTTTGGAGTTCTGTCTTACTCTGGGGTCTGCAGAATCATTAGCAGGAGACAAGGCACGGGCAGAAGATGAAGTAACAACTGAAAAAGCAGCACGAAGGAAAGGAAATCACTAAGCATGGTGTGGCTGACTGTCCTTCACTGCTGTGCTATACACCACACACAAGGTTCCAGAATGGGTGCAGCACTTTCCTTTTCACAAACCTCTTTAATTTGATTATTAATCAAGCAAATGGTCAACTAATCTAAATGAGGTCATTTATAACACATTTTCCTTTCTGTTTAGATTCTGTTCTTTCTGTTGGCTGATACTCATTCCCAAAAAGAGGCCAAGGTTTTGCTGGTTGAAGGACGTTGAAACAGTTCGGTCTTTCTACAAAAATTGCAATTTTGTTACATGTGACTGTGCAATGCAAAATTTATCAAGCTGCTTTCAACAGCTGTTGGAGGCTTTTGTGGCATTTCCTTGGTATCTTTTTAGGTGTAAGCACAGACCAGGAAGAACAAATTCCCACATTTCCACAAATATGACAAAAGAATATTTGACAGCTCTAAATAAAAAATTGCTTATCCACCAAGTATTTAATGTCATGTGTTTACAAATGGAACCCTAAAAGCAGTTTGAGGATAATGACCTGAAGTAACAGAACAGTGCAAAACCAGGTAATTCTGATGTTAATATAACGTAGCAAAACTAGCTAATTTCTGAGCTACGTAACCTACCTTTGTTTGCTTCATCCCTGACAGCTGCTCGGAAAAGGAAACTCTCAGGTCGCTGGGAAGGGTTTCTATAGGAAGGCGGGGCTGCATGACCAGGATATGGAGGGGAAAGGTGGACTAAACAAATGTGGAAAGGCACAGGAAAGGAAAGGAGGAAGAAGGAAATGGTTAGAGTTTAAATAGGAAATGGGTTCAGCAATGTGGTAATTAAAAAGAACAAAACAAAAATTTTAATATAATAATGACAAAATGAAATACAGCCATGCATGGTAAAAGCGCAGGGCAGGAAAAGGCACTTCCAAGGGCAGTTGCATGCAAAGCACATTCCACATACCAATTCCAACAACTGTTCTGCCTGCTGCTGAATGCATCTGTGTGCCAAAGCCTGTACAGGGGCCTGAAACAGCCGAACCCTACCCTGCCCGAGGACAGGCTTCACCCCTTGCCTCTTCCCTCATGTGTTTCGCAGGAGACCCAAATAACTGGGTAAATTCTAAAGCACAGCAGTGCCGTGTCCAGAGACAGGAACATACGCCCCCTTCTCTTCACAGTACAAATAAGCAAGCAGGCATTTTGATCTTATATTTCAGAGACTTTTCTTCCCTTCCCTGTTACCTGTCTGAGTGTTAGGTGAGCCGGGGGAGATGGTAGATCTGTCATCACTCTGTGGACAAAAAAAGCAGAAGAGTATAAATGGTCCTAATCTGGAAAAGCTGTGGCTCATTTTATTTTGCTGTGTTTTAAAATAGTCTCCACCCATCTAAAGGTGTTTCAGAGAAAAAAAAAACAAACCAGAAATGTGATAAAACAGAGTATGTTGTTCCCCAAGTCTCATCTCTGCAGAAAGTGACAGTTTTTTCTTTTGTACAAAAGACACAATTGCTTTTATTTTCCTGAGGAAAAAGAATGACGAAACAGCACTGACTGTGCAATGATAGATCTTTGTTTACTCTTCCTTTCAATCAAAAATTCCAAAGTATTTGCAAAGGGGATACAGAAAACCAGATAATTAAATTAAATGCAGAACTGATAATACAGCAGCACCAATAAGGACAAACCTCTCTGACACTTTTGCTAATGCAAAACTGCTATTTACTGAACATCACTCTCCCGGTACGGTTTTATTACAGAGCTTACACAGACTAATGATTTCTGGTGATGATTTGGTATAGCAGTATCCACAGAAGAAAAAGAAATATAGGATATCTGTATTCAGTTGTGAAAGTAAGCTGGTAAAGAATACAACAAAAGTACTTTCGATGAACTCAGCTTGGTCAAGAGAAAATCATAAAAAGTAACATCAAAGAAAACCAAGAACCCCTGGGAGCAGAGACTGGTTGCCACGTTTTGATAGCTTAGGCCTCCTGGAGATACAGCCTAAAGCTAAGATGAGGTAATATCTACTACAGTTTAATCAGGTAAATAGGATTCATACCCTACCTGAACTTTTGATTAGCAGCTGACAGACTAACACCTGTTAAAACAGATGTGTGGATCCAAGAGATTTTTTGTTGGCTTTAGTGGTGAATGATAATAGCAAGAGATACCTTGACAGGAGTGAAGGCAGAGGCATTAGGCAGGGCAGTGGCACAGCTTTCTTGACTCAGCCCTGAGAATGACTGAATGCAGAGAGAAAGAAAAGGCAGCAGCAGGGTTAGCAAAGGGCTGACGAGTCACACACAAAGAGGGAACGGAGCAGACAAAAAGGAAGAGGTAATCACAATCACATTCTCAGAAACATTCAACAGGCAACAGATACACGCTTGCTGAGCCACAGGTAAAGCCTTCCTGCACTCCTGAACTTACTGGTTAATAAGCTTGAGAGGTGCGATGTTTCTTTTACACACAACACAGTGACATCAAACACAAAACCAAGAACAATATGAGAGGTAAAAACTTCTTCAGTAACACCTATGACATCAGCCAAAAGAAAATCTTACCCTACAACAGCTCATTGTGAACCACTATTAAAAATAAATAGCTTTCTTTTTAATGTTTTAGCAATTTATTTTCCTATCAACTTTGGAAAATCGCAGAAACCCACATCTAACGAGCTGAAGAACATACGCTTTGTGTCTGCCACAAATACTCAATGCTGATCCTTGTGAATTATATACAAAGTAAATTAAAGTTCCGTGGGTGGAATCTAGCTCTTGGAGAAGACATCAGTGTGAAGATTTACAGTGTTATCACAGACAAAAATGCTGCCAAATTTCAATTATAACCATTAGCAAACCCAACAAAATAAACAGCAATTTCATGTTTCCAGACCGGGAGCTCCAACTGACAGGTGGATCTAGAAGGCCAAATTCTGTCTTATTGAAAGCACAACCAAAATGTTAATGCTCACGGGCTGAATGGCTCAAGAATGAAACCATACTTTCTTAAGCAGCATTCAAATAGCAAAGCGGCAGTTCAGCACAGGAAAAGAACACCAAATGACACCTAGAAACTCTACAGATGTGAGCAACACACTTGAGATTGTTTGCATTTTAAACAATTCACAACTATTCTGCCACTTCAGCACAGCATGGCCAGGAAGGACGAGAAGGAGAGGTTATACTCAGGGCAAGCCTTAGAACACAAACATCTTCGGGCCCTGCACAGACTTAACAGCTGATCCACAAAACAGCCTCTTTCTCCACAGCAATGCAGAGCAAAAACTGTGGATTTCTTTTTTTTATTTAAAAAATTTCAAAGTATCACTTGTCTTAGGCAAAACATTAGCTAGTGTACGAGAACAGTAAAACAAAACAGAAGTAGGTGGTCTGTAACATTAACTGTTTATTCCTGTATTAAAAGAGCAAGAGAACCTTGACGCAGACTAACAAGAAGTCATCACGATCCACGTACCCAGCAGTGGGCGAAGGGAGGGGGAACACGGCACAGCACGGGGAAGGACAATCACAACAGCAACACACGGCATGCTCTTCACCTGTTTGCGAGTCCCTGGCCTTCGTTTAATGGTATTGGTGTTATTGTCAATCTCAAACACAAAGAGAGGCTCAAAGCCATTCTGTCACAGCGAGGGAAGAAAGGGAGGAAAGAAAGGAAGAAGTGAGGCAGAGAACAACTGTGAGAGCAGGCAGCCACAACGCAGAAGGGACCAGGATGCTGCAATTCAGACTTAAAACACTCCACTGCACATGCCGCACGTGGCCTCTAGGTCTAGCACTGAAGTCAGAGAAATCTCCCTGCGCCAGAAACAACTGTAGATAGTGGGACTGCCAAAGCAGAGCCCAACCAGAACTCTGCACCAACCAAATAAGGATATTTTAAGGGAATATGATTATTAAACATTTGAATACGCAAATGGATGCCAACGGTCTGAGAGAAAACTCCAGGGCACAAGTTAGCATAACTCAAGTCCTGCTTACTTTACTCATACCACCATTTCGTGCAACACAGCGTTGCCTAAAAGCCTTAGCTTAAAATCCCACACGCTAACAGCAACACGACGGCCAGGCCACGTTTGAGACCACAGCAAGAAAACAAAGCGCAGTGCGGGGAGCACAAGGCAGCAATGACACAAAGGTTACAAAAGGAAGAGGTCACACCAGCTGCCTGATGCTTATCAACTGTTTCACAGGCTTCTTAACAGAGAAACTGAGCAGCAGTTTGAGAGGTTCTTCTGGTTGGTTTGTTTTTTTTTCCTTCCATAGTACTCACTTTATAAGGGACAGTTTGGGAGAAAACAAGAAGATATTTGGGGAAAAATGAGATTCATAAGCAAACAAGGCTGAAATCATACTATCTCAACAAGTAATCTCAAATGTAAGGAATGGGACTACCCTTGTGAGAACAGCAAGCAGGATATGACTAATGTAAAACTTTGAGGTATACAGCCCATTTTTTCAGAGAGGCCAGTGACTACATTTCTTCAGCAACATTTTAGTTAGTCTGGCTATTTCAAGTCAACATGAAGAAACCCATCAGTGTGCAATGAAGCGCTACAAACTCCACTTCACTTCTGATCACAAGCACACAAAAAAACCACACAACTAAACTGAACTATTAACATTCATAGAATGTTTGGGTAGCGATTTTGTGAGTTCAAACAGACTGTCCTGAAATTGCTTACAAACAGAAGGAAATGGTCAGAATAAGCTGTTCAATGTGAACACATTTTAATTAGTGATAAAAGACAACAAGGAGAACACCAAAAGAAACATGATGTAAGATTCACAAAGCAGATTAACAACTTAAATTCTGGTTTTCAGAAAATTTTTGATAGAGCAGTCAACAATACCAGAAAAGGGACGTAGTAAAATAAAAGAAAGCTCAATAGCTTTCTAACCACATATTAGACTTATTACTTTTGCAATCTTTTCCTTACATCTGAGTTGAAAACATTGTTTGGAGTAAAAGAAAAGCAACTGCTCAGTTTAGAGCTCTGATGTAACGAGGGAAATGTTGAACAAAAGATCTTTTATTCTGCCTCTAGGTAATATTCTCCTCTTTTGCCACAAAGTGTTATTCCCAAACCATAAAGCTAGAACAATCAGTGGAAAACGTAGCAGAACATTTTATTTTATTTTAAACTAGCCCTTCTGCAAGTTTCAATGTCCAAAAGTTTTGTAAGGAAAAGTTTACACTACTGCATGCAGTGTTTATGCAGAGAAAAAAAAAAGGCAGAGAGGAAACTATGTAAATGGAAAATACGTACTGGAAACTGCCATTAGTGAATAGAATTTTGATATGAAATGTCTCTATATTTTGGTGGAGGAAAAAAAAAAACCCACACAAAAACCATTCTCAGACATTAGAAGCAGTTAAACTTCAAATCCATAAGGACAGGAAAAATGTCAAATGAAATGCAATAGAATATAAAAAGGTAAAAGCAATTTCAACTCTTATGACAACTTTTTTTTTTTTTTAAAGGCAAACTAATGAACATTTCCTTGTTGTTGAACAAGTTTTTACCATAAAAAATACATTTGTAGAAACAAAAATGCTACAAATTCATAAGCTGGCATGGGCTTAATGTTCCAGTTACAATAATTGCCAGAAACAGCTGCCCTGGCATATGTCATCATTTGACACAGTGTGTATTTCCACTACAAAACAGAGCTGCAGATCATCCTTCAGCAGGTCAGAAAACCCACTATTTCATATATTATTATAGTTCAGTGCTGCTGAAAGAACAAAGAATCAAAAGAAAAAAGATCACAGAAATGATTGCTTTCAAATCTAGTTTAATCTCTCCCTACCAGCCTGTCTGCTTTTTTGTGAAGAGTAGGGATGTAACTTGGTTAAAGACACGAAGGAAACAAACAAAAGTCATGGGATCACACGGGGTCCTTGAAGGTATCTTTACAATACATTCCAAAGATGAATTCACTGACAACAGGGTATCAACACTTAAACCAAACCAGTGTTTCTTGTTATTAAAGTATGAAAGCACATTTTAATTCGCTAATTGATTGTGATTTCTCTGAACAGGCACATGCATGATCACTAGATCTCTTTCTATTATTACAAACTTGCTTTCTCTCCCACAAAGTGCTAGTCATGTGAAAGCAGGAATAAAGAGACAGTAAATATCTTGATGAACACATTCTGGAGCAAGATATTCTAACCAAGAGCACTGCCTAAAGAAAATTTAGGCAGATAATGGAGGCACATGAATTAAGAAAACAAATCCCAGGCAGGCATGCAGTCATGCAACAACAAGCAAATCAGATGTATTTTTCTTTCATAGACATGGATTATGGCATTAATTATAGTCTTTAATTATGCTACATCGCTAAGATGCCATAAAGGAAGAAATAGCATAAAACATGAATTAAGTACATAAATGTTTTTATTTTTTGTAAGTGTTCAAAATGGATTATTTTTAAGACATTTTCATCAATAACTAATAAAAAGGTATGAGGAACATTTCATGATTTGTAGAATTTTATGGAGAGCAGTTTTTCCCTGTGATATGATATGGTTACCAAGATGCTATGTATTTCTAGCCACCATGTGCAGGATGCAGACAACTTAAGTAGAAGGCTATACTCGAAGCATTAAAACTGCTTACTTGACACTGAAGAGCACATGAATTAGGAAGCAAGCTAAATGGAGAAGAAATCAAACCTGAACACCTATAGGTGAAGTTTTATTTTTAGAAGCTGTTCTCTACTATCAGTAATTTTCTTCTGCTCTCAGCAAAAGATAAGCATTAATTATTTTGTGGAAAAAACCCACTCTATTATTAACAAATGGCTGACAATACTAGTATCAACATATTCATAATATTAAAGTTCACAGCTAAGCTACTTTTCAAAGAAGACGGTCATGTTTTATGCTATTTAGATTAGCTCTAAAATAGTTGGTCTAATCTGAGATAATTGTAACACGTTGTTATTTCTAGGCTCTAGAATCTGCCACGTAAAAAGGCCATTGCGTGCATGATCTTACCACTAACAAGGCACTATCATCAGTATGCTGAGACCTTCTGGATGGAAAGGGACACTGGGAGGTGGGAGAGATGGAGTAATGTCAGAAACACACAGAATGTCAGAAACACACGGTATGTGAACAGACAGACATTTTGGAACACATACTGCTTGTTTATAGCATTGTGAGGCTTTTTTTAAAAAGCCAGAAAATATATGTAACTCTGTAGGAATATACAGTCACATGATGCATGAATTACAGTGCATTCGTATTACTTAAGGAATCAATTATTCTGGTTTCTGTGTAGTCTCAAGCAAATAAAGACAACTATGTATTCACAGTTCTTACTGTGGTAGAACAAAGGAGCCTTTAAAAGAATAAATTAAGAACAGAAGAACATTAAGAAGGAAAAGGAGCAAAAAACTATTTCAATTACCCCATGTTTCGGTAATTTTCTAACAAAAAAGAGTTTGTTGGAAAATACTGCTAAAGAACTATTTATATTCATTATATTATTAAAAGTTTTGATCTGATTAACACTGCCAAGTGAATTATCTTCCCCTGGAGGAAAGTGGGGACATCAAGCAGTGGAAGAGCTATTACTATGCAGAAATCTGATGCAGAGTGAACAGATGTCACCAGCTCAGCTCTGTATATTCCAGAAGTCTGAGCCTTGTATGATTTGTGTTCCCTATTAACTTACTGGTTTTGATTATAAAACTAGACTAGAATAAAACTTTCAAAAAATTTATTTATTTCTTCTTCTGATAGCCCTCAAAATTCTAATGCTTAATCTTTCTGTGATAACTGGTGATCTAACAATTGTAAACTGGGAGAAAACAGATCAGTGAAGGATGACGTCAATGCAGTAAGTTGTCTGAATACTCCTGTTAGAAAGTAAACTCACTGCTCAAAAGGAGCATCTTAAAATAGCATATGAAATGTATTTTCTCTACAGAACATAAAAACCATACAAGAACTAATAAAGCAGCACACCTAGACAGGCAATCTGCATGAACAGAAGGAATGGTTCCATGAGCAAAAAAACCTAACCAACTAAGGCTTAATAGTAAGTGTGAAAAAACTATGCTATAACCCAGTCCTGAAAAGCTCTCCACAATCAGGAAAATATCTCTGATGGAATTAAGAATTCAGGTGCTGACATCCCGAGTAATACTCTTATTGGATTCTTACCTCACTATCCAGAGGACTTTGCTTCTGAGGACTTAAGGATGCTTTTTGCTATAGAGAAAAAGGAAAAATTAAAGACCAATTTAAAAGAATGCGACAGAGAATCAAAAGCTCAGAACAAACCAGCATAATTTAGAAGTGTTTTAAAACACAAGAAATCTTAGTTGTTAGATAAAACACACATTGGGGAAATTTCAAGTTTCCACTGAGCTGAAACTTCGCTGATATTATTACTAAAAAACCAGCCTTTATTCCATACAAAACCAAAAAACCCAAATTGTTTTTGCCTATTAAAGATGCATAATAAACCCAAAATATAACCCAGGGGAGGAATTTAATTGCTGAGAATAAAGTGCTCATGAATAACAAAGGCAACAGAAGAAAAAAAACCCAACCAAAATCAAAAAACCCCAAAGGCTTATCAATGGACAAAATGCATCCTGAATATCTAAAGTCTCTAACTGAAAGACTGAGCTGAATCTTTAATAAAAGCAGCTTTTCTAGAAAACATTGCCAGGGGCCTGAGATTAGTTGGTGCTAATGAAAAGCCGAGTTTCAGGCAGCTAAAAACCCTTCTCTGAATTAACTTCATGCATTACATAAATGCAATGTAACATTCTTTTCCTCTCTGCAGACCACCCTAAGCCCATGGTATTAACTGTAACATTTATTAAATTTGTGATGGTGAGATTTGGGTAGGTCACTAGAGCAGCAAACAGTAAAATAAATTTAAGACAAGTAGAACACAAACAAGTTTGTGCATTAAGCAGCAGAATACCTCATATTGACTGCAGGGAAAAAGAAAGTGAAGACACGGTGCACACAGAGTATCTGATGTACCAGAAATTTGCACCAATGCTTTATTTACCTGGAGGTAACTTATTTATGCATTGTAAAATGCCAAAATAAATCAGGCAACGTTATCTTCTTGTGTGTATGACTGCTTTGCTTCTCTGCTAAATTCACCTTAAAAATTAAATTGCCTCTATGCCTTCTAAAATAAAGTCCCCTTCCTCCTTACACCAATCCTGTCACATCTATGCAAATGAAAAATTGAAAAAATGAGGCAGACTATATAAAAACAGAATTCTTTACAACAACCACATTTTGGGTAAATCTCTTCTGTCTTCCTCCCCAGTTCTAGTTTTCTCTATTAAGCTGCAGCACCAAAACTGAATGGAATTAAATCCTATTTTTCATTTTCTTTATAAAGTGCCGTGCATGCCTAAGAGCGAAATGTGTAAGTATTAATGACCTTGGCAATTAATTTTCAAAAAAGGGATTTAGAAAAGGTAAAGTGTCAAGTAGGCACCTTAACGAAGTCAAGGACAGCTTCTCTCTGGATCTGCTTAGTTCTCATCCTCTCCTCCTCGTACTGAAGCGCTGCCAGCTGGGCCTCCCGGCGCGTACGCTCTATGTGCCTGCGGTGCTGCTCGGGGTCTGTGTTAGTCACCTGGAACAAAACAGCACAGCTGCATCAGGCTGTAAGGACAGAGTTACACAGGGTACAACAGCTGGGTTACAGAGGAACAGTCCATGCCTTATGGCTTACATAAGCTTGGTTTTGCATCACCTTGAATACCGTGTTCAGTTTTGGGCCCCTTGCTACAGGAAAAACATTGGGGTGCTGGAGCGTGTCCCTTTGGACAAGAGCAGAGAAGCTGGTGAAGGGTCCAGAGAACAACCCCAACCAGGAGCAGCTGAGGGAACTGTGGTTGTTCAGCCTGAAGAAAAGGAGGCTGAGGGGAGGAGACCTTATCAGGCTCTACAACTAGCTGGAAGGAGGTTGTAGCGAGATGGAGGCTGGTCTAATCTCCCAAGTAACAAGCAACAGGGCATGGGGAAATGGCCTGAAGTTGCACCAGAGGAGGTTTAGGATGGGTATTAGGAAAAATTTCTTCACTGAAAGGGTTGTCAAACATTGGAACAGGCTGCCCAGGAAAGTGGTTGAGTATTTATTCCTGGAAGTATTTAAAAGACATGTAGCCATCGTGCTGAGGGACATGGTTTAGTGGTAACTTGGCAGCGTTAGGTTTACAGTTGGACTCGATGATCTTAAAGGTCTTTTCCAACTTAAATGATTCTATGATAAGAATAAAATAGTAGAGTTACCTGGCTGTGGTGACTTGACAACGAGAGAAAGTAAGGCGAATCAGCCGGGGGTCTGATGAATGGAAGAAAAGAGAGTAAATATACTTTCTATCTTAAATACAATTTTTCATACATGATTTGTCAGCAACACACAAACATTTCATCAAATCTAAAAAGCAACTGTTTACCAAGCTAAGCTGTTAAACCAGCTGCTGCAGTAATGATTTAACTCATTGTGCATGGCAGATTTCGTGCTGTCATTTCTATCTCTCCTCCTGAATTGCAATAACATTTTTCTGCAGCTCAAGATGTATCAATGGGATTGTAGGTTTGGCCTATTACATTGAGATAAACAGTACTTTATACCCATTCTCTAAAAGCTGGTTAAGTAACGAACCCATGAACTTTTCAGATAACCATAGTAACCACATCCTCTAAATGAGGGTCATTTAGGGGGGAAAAATGAAATAAAATTCATCAGTAGAAACGATATGTTTCTTTTCCCTACCTCTCTGTCCTGTCCACATAACTCCTTAGTACTTGGTGATGCTCTCTGTCCTGCATCAAATTTAGAGTTTCAGGTCTTCGTAATTCATCAGTATCCCTGTGGGTAAACACCAGGTGGAAGGGGGATTGGCCACTGATGCATGGCATCTACTGTCAGATGAATTATTCTCTATGTTACAACTGTTTTAGTGAGAGTAATTGCCTAGACAATTAGCTTCAGATAACAAAGGTGAAACTTAGGAGGACTAAAGAAATCATGCTGCGATACCAAGTCAGATCACAAATACTACGGTTCATAACCAAATAAATATAACTCTCTCAAGACTATGTTTTGGTTATTGTGACCCTTATTCAGCTCTGGAAAGAGCAGAATTAATTTTAAACACTGGTTCTGAAAACATCAGAGGATGCTAATCTGCTCACTTCACCAATCAAGAGGTGACTTTCTGTCAGTGATACAAGCCATCAAAGTCACAAGGTAAACAATAACTGATCTCTTCTATGTCATACCAAGAATAAAAGAGAAAATTTGCAGTTGATTCTTTGCTAGAAGGCAGCTGCTAGCACTGAAACAATTCCCAAGGTCCACAGTCTACAGCATGTTCCCTGCCATGTTGCTTCCTCCAAAGAAAGTAGATGGAAATCAAGTAGCTTACTCTTGACAGCCTACAGTCTGCAACCTTCTCTCCAGGGACAGCTAAGGAATGGAGAGACACCAGTTCATTTCCAAAGACTGTCACTCATGCTGCCTGCGTATAGATTTATTACCTATTCTGCACAGAGAAGCTTAAGAGATGTAGAAGATCCATATGCTACAGGTCTCCTCTGTTACTTAAATTAGCACTGATGCACATGACAAATGCATTACTGAGCTGTTTTGAGTGGACACGACTGGGTTCAACTCGGTGCCAAGAAGCATATTCAGACCAGAGCGCACACAGCTTTGCTGCATCAGAAAAGCACCACAGTCTGGCCATAGGCACAAACTGTATTTACAGAATTGAATCAACTAATGTAAGTACTCTTGAGATGAAGTCTGCTCTACATCCAACTGTTAAAGAGTTTTAATGGCTCCAGCATGGTGAAGAAGAAAGGAAAAAAAAAAAAAAAAAAGAGGCTGCCTGCCAAGGCATTTGCACAGAATTACTGTGGAAGCAGATTACAGCTTGTGGCCGCCACAAATGAAATATTTGACTAATACAAGCTTAAAATATAAAAAGTTACTCATTGTCATCTGGCTGATTTTACACAATTTTGAAGACAACAACAATATGACCTGGTCTTAGTGCCTCATTACGAATTTCACTTTGATTCAGCATAATATAAGTAAGTTACGATTTATTTAGATCTTTGATTAACTAATTCTGCATGAAGATCTGCTGCCATCCTGAAGTTGAATTCTGAAAACACTGGATACCCTAGTGAACTACAATTTCCTTTATCATTAAAATCTGCCTATGTAAACAGCAGCTCCCTCCCAGCTAACAAGCCTTCTCTTATTTCCTTCAGATATGTCATGGAATCCAGTGTTTGTAAAGTCTAATTATTTCCATGTTGACCACAAATGTTTAACTAGAAAAATAAATAAATAAACAACAACAAAAAATAATCAGTCTTTCAAACAAAGAGCAACCACTTTGTTTGGGGAGAACACATGAGACTGCTTAATGATCTTATGCCTTACCTGCAGACACTACAGGATTAATGAATGCCAGTATATGCTGAGGGAGTTACCCTTCTTTTTATTGGTATAGCTACTCTATCTGCACATCTACTGCACATTTTGAAATGCCTACTAAAGTGTTGTCATAACTCTGGGAAAAATTTACACACTATTCTTGATTTCATTTTCTCTTTCAATACCATTTTAAGACGCCACTATAAATTAATTTCTACTGACAGTGTAAGTAATGACATACTTATGGCTAGCAGTTGTCTGTTGTGGTTTTTTTTAACATTCCTAGTACAAATGGTTTTCTGCTGAGTCCTTGCACATTCACTTTCACTCCACAGAATACTGAAATACTTCAAAGGCATATTAAAGGTGCTATCAATTTTAATTCTAGTTCCATTAGCAAGAAGCTATACATTTGCTTATCTTCTGTTCTTTTAACTAGACACCCAAAACCCTCTTCTCAAACCCAACCACCTGATTTATATCCTGTCTAACTCTGACCCATATTATACAGATAAGCATTCCCTCCAACAAGCCAAGTAATCATTAAAGAGTACGGACATAATTCAAAAAGTCTACGTCATTAAACTAAGTGACCTGTTTTCAGCATTGACTCCCATTCTAACTCTTCTTTCCCTGATGTAAGCTAATGATTACGGCACAGAAAAGCACGTTTTATATTAAACTAACCCCCTACAGTACTACAGGTACCAAGAGTCCACCAAGAACATAACCTCATAGCACATCAGACACTCCACAGCAACTCTCTGCTTCCCCTAAACCTGCAGTAACTTTATCCCTTCTGTCCTCTGAATAATCCGTCTTAAATCAACTATTTAATCAAAGCACAAATTAAATCATGAAAAGTAGGTATTAAATAAGTTTAAAAGTATATGCTTTAACCAATTTAAAGCTGAGACCTGCCCTAGAACAGCCAAACCTTTTGGTCACTGCCATTATTAGAATACAAATTCCTAATCTGGAGCAATAACTTGTAAGTGCCACACACATCTCGGGTGAGGCAACAGAAAACAGTGTCATTTTCTAAACACACTCAGTAAATTAGCGCTCTGCATTCATCATGGAACTTTGGAGAAAATTACTGTTACCACACATTCTTACCTGTTTTGATGTAAATATCGTCTTGTATCCTCTGTTCTCTGAAATTCTCTGACGGAGACAGGCTTTCCTGGTGAGCCCTAAGCAAAATAACACAGAAGACTATTAGCAACTTGTTCAGAATACTGCACATTAATGTCAAAGAATCTTTTTTTAGAGCAATGTTTGTAACTGCTGGTATTCATAAATTCAATGAACCACAAAACAGAACTCAGGGATGTTCATTTCCCACTAGGCAAGCTTGCCTACTTTTTCCTGCAATTTAAAGAAATTTTAGTTTCAAGATTAAACACACCTACTGATACATTTAAGACTTTAAAAACCTCCACTATTAAGAATCATGCAGAGAAGTAAATGTAGGTAAGAAATAATTAACGTCACTTAGAAGAAATGTAGAGTTAAGGTCTGAAGAATATATGTACAAGTGTACAGCAATGCAGTCTGGACTCTCAGAAACCAACTGTTGTTGGATACAACAGTGATGTTCTCTTATGATGCCCTCAAGAGAGGTCACAGAGGGAATAGGAAAGCAAAACATAGCATGAATGAGAACATCTTAGGCTCAATTTGAGTTATGAAAGAGTTTATCCCACTGGAAACAAAGACACAATGCCCTCGGCATTATTTTAAAATTTCTACTGATACCCATTAATCTAGGAAAATGTAAACTTTCCTGAGATTAACTTGCCAATTTTCATTTATGCCTCTATGTATGTTGCTATATTGCATACAGTTAGCTTTCCTAAGTGGTAGAGTATTTTGGATTGTCTTTTTAGAGAAAATAATACCAGTTATAAGCAGTTTAATTTCTGTGGACAGATTCCTATGAATAGCTTTTTTGATGTTGACCAATGTTTTTCACTACCTACAGGAATGAGCCCTTAGGTTGTATTGCCAATAGCTGCCTTTTCTGAGTGTTGCTTTTGTGTCTGTGCTTCAGGTGGCATTGGCTTTTGTGATCTGATACTGCATTTATAAGATTTGTAAAATTAATGCAACTCTCAGATGTCTGTATCACTGATTTTAAACACAGTAAACAGTAATAGAAAGTGGACAAAATAGGGAGGAGGCTCCTACGTGAACATCAAAGATCCATGTTTGGTTTCCTCTTTTTTCCTTTCCTCAAAGAGCAAGTATCTTTCTGCTTCAAAACACAAAAAAACCTTTGAAAGGACACATTTGAACCGCAACACAATAGGTACCATTTAAGCATGTCAACCACAAGATTTTCTCAGACAGGTTATTCATGTAGTACGCACAATGAGCCACTGAGCTGTGTAGCTGAGTACACAGGTATTAATTAAGACTGACAGAACACAGAAGGAAACATTATGTGGCTGAAAATTTGTTTCTATAGGTTCGATTTCTGAGGACACTTTCCAAAAGTGTACCACCCAAATGGCTTAACTGGGAAGAGTTTTCTCTGTGTGTTCACAGCAGTGGCTACTACAACTGGAGCAAAGGCATTTTCAGTTTTCGCTTTCGTAATTTCAAAGCAACTCCAGTGGATTTTATTAAAGTGCACACTAATCCTGGTGTAGCTAGAAAGCAATGAAATTACATGAGCTAAAGAAAAGTGACAGTAGCTTTACTGGAACCATTGCCCTCGTCTGCACCAGGACATCATTTGGATACAGTAAGCAATCAATTAAAGCAGCTATTATTGTGGAGGCTGTCAAAAAATACGTGGAAACAAACTTCATCCCTATGTTGTGGGGAAATGGGTGCACAGATCCTGGCTCTCAGGCATTACATTGCAGTTACTGTTACTGAGATTTCTGAAACGCCGCATTCCAGTTCAAGTGTTACATACCAGCTCAAACAGAAAGATACTCCAGACTAAAAATTAAAAAGATACTGTTTAGACTTGTTGGGAAAAAAGAACATAGAGGCTACTTTGCCCTCTTTTTTTTTTTTTTCTTTTCTTCTTCTTCCTCTTTTAGTGTGAGAGGAGAAAATAGGGCAATATCCAGAGCTAGTCATGTCTGTTTCTAGATGTTTGTAAAAAGCTGTCTGGAAAAGTTTCTAACCTGTCTAGCAATAATTTCACTTATTGTTCATTTAATTGTATACATTTACTGACTAAGAACAGTGTCGCATCAGGTTTATCTTAAACTACAGATGATGGCCTTTGTTCAGAAAGATGACCATGTACATAACCAAGTCTGTACCTGGAGGTTCAAGCCTTGCTCCATTGCAAGAGAGAAAGAAATTGCTTGCTGCAAATAGCAGACTTTCTGAAAAGTCTGAATATATAAGTTAGTCTAAACTTAAAATGGATGCTCAAGGCAGTGAGTTTCCTGGCAAATAACTTATAATCAACATGAACAGCCAAATTAATGAAGTTCCAAAATTCTTGTAGTGAATTTTTACACTTATAATAATCAACATCTTTCCATTGAGAAAGCTGGTATATATTCAGTACAACCAAGTAGAGGTTAACAATTTTCTAGATATCAACAATCACCAGTTGGAAGCATCATCTTCATGAAGAGAGACCTCCTCTGGAAAAAACATTTACTTCACAGATTTGTGCCTAAAGCACAAATTTGCAAGAACCCACATGACAGGAAAACAGTGTGGCTGCCTTAGACTTATTCCACATATCCCAAAGGGCACCTGGGAGCAGCTTAACACTTCAGCTCTGACCCTCCAAAAAGCAAACACTGTGCTCTTCCCCTGTATTAGGCTTAATTATTTCTTTTTCCTTGGTTTTAAAAAAAAAAAAAAAAAAAGAAAAGAAAAAAATCTCTGAGGATAAGAAGCATTAGTACCATCACAAAGGCTTTCCTGGGGCATATGAATTTATCTAATTTAAGTAAAAGCACCACCTCATTAGAGATTCGCCGCTGGTCAATATATGCCATGAATTGTGAGCTGAGGCTGTCTGCGTCCATGCACTTGGGTTGCCTCACCTCTTCCTCCTCCTCTTCTGTGGCACAGCTGTCAATATAGTCGATCTGATCGAGATCATGTTCCACTTGACATACATACACAAAGAAAAGAGCCATAATTAGATAATCAACAGGAGAGGAAAAACCCAACAGAAAAGCAATGTCAGAAAATAAGGCCCTGCTGTTTTTCTTCCATCTGGGAAAGCTCAGCCTGAAAGCTCTTGAATTTTGCCTGGCCACTAACATTTGTTAAATGTCAGATTTTGAAATAATGATGAAAGTAACAGTTTAGAAAAAGCAATGAGAAACATGTATCCAGCACATAGCTTTAAATTGCTGGCCGCAGATACTTTTGCAGTGACTGAAAAAGTAAAGTAATACTGTGATTTTTTGTTTTTCAATACCGAAAACTATCTATCAAAATCTAACAACAGCAAGACTGTACAATGAGTTGTGTACATTTTGAATAATTTCTCTTGGTTCTACTTAATCTCTGTCAAAAAATTAGAATGGATATGATAGGTACTTCTGCGATTTTTTATTACTACAACAACAAACCACAGGTCAGCAATTCCAAGTTATCTGGATGCAAATGCAATAAATATAGAAAGTGTATTTGGAAATAATGAAGGACAGCATACAGAGAACAACAAAATCCTTCTAAAAGAATATAAAAGCATTTGCAGTTTTATTTTGAAAAGAGGAATGAAAAAAGAAATTAGGAAGCACTGAAACGAGAGCAAGAACCAGCACAGTTTGGCTAGCATTGTATAACCTTGTGTGGGTTATACTATGTAGGTCAATTTTTTCACTTGTCACTGCTTTTACACATTGTGCCCAGGATTCTGAGAGTCATGACACTGAGCAAACTACCCTGGAGAAAAATACTGTGCTGGGGATGCAGGGGAAAGCATAAGCTCCCTTTCTGAGCACTAGAGCTTTCTTTTTCTTCAAATTCTCCCCAAACTTGCTCCAGACTCCCTTGCAGACATTCTTTTTCTACTCCCCCGCCCCTTTCCTGCTTGTCTAAAACAGACTTCTCTTTGCCTCACCACACAATCTAGCAACTGTTACTGCCAAAGCCACCTCCTCTGCTACTACAACCATCCAAAACAGCATTCCTATATACTTTGGCTTCATTAAATCTCCAACTCAGTTTCAAATCTGAAAAAAAACCCCACAACAAAACAAATCAAACTAAGCCCCCCTTCTTTCTAGACTTCCTTATTAAACTTAAATCATCATAATAATACAGTAGAGGGTAAAAGACCTTCCTATCTGTGTTAGGAACACAAAATTGGAAAGGATCTCCTGCATCACTGACAGCCACACGCTACGGCTTGTGCCCCTCTCGGATACTTCTACTCATGAACTGACTGTGCTCCATCTTAAAGACTAGCGAGGCATTTTGAAATCCCTGGTGTACAAATCCCAAAGAACAAAATAAAGTTAGTCTTAGAGGTGGAGCTGGCAGCGCTACCTGTTATTAAGGCTGCCCACATCTTCCCATAACACCACGTCTTCAATTCTTCTAACTTTGCCAGAATTTAACTGTCTGAACTGATTCTTTTTGGCTGCTAATACATAAAAGAGTGTGAGGCAACCAGAAAGTTTCAGGTGTTTCTAGAAGCTGGCAAAGAAAGCAAAACATTGTGACAGAGAAGAGTAAGACCAAGAAAAGAAGATGGCAAAAGATGAAGAGTGGGATGAGGAAGGAAGGAAGAAAAAGTGGGAGTTGGGCACAGAAGATTAAAACTAGCTGTGAAGAGTGATACTCAGGGAGGGAATATGAACTGAAGCCATTAGGGGAAATTGAAAACAGGGAGCAGCTGACAAAAAAGAAAAATTCATCAAAGTGTGTGGGGATGAGATCTAATAACCAGTAGTGCAAAAAAATGAAGAAGAGGGAATGACTGAAAAAAATCAAATCTGGGAGAATGCTAAAATTCGACATCTAAATAAGAAGAGGACTGAACTGCAAACCAGTGGTAGCAGCAGATTAATGGAAGTTAAAATTGAGAAGGAGTGTGGAGAACAAGAAACATGGGAAGTGCTATCACCTCTTGAATAAATATGAGGGTGCTACTTGTAAGACTGCAGGACAACAAATTGAGAAGGTGCAAAAGGGTAACATCACTCAGAAATACCAGTCCCTCCTAGATGGCTTCCACATTTGGATTAAAACCCAAAACTGCTGAATGAGGTGCTTTTGCTGCTTGGAAATACAAAATTCTCTGACAAAATTGCTCATCCCCTTCTGACAGCAGTTGGCAAGAGCACCGACAATTCACTACCGCTATAAATTTTCCCCAGTAGCTCAAGCAGCAAAACACCGAACTTCAGGATTCAAAAATACTGTTTGAAGCATTTGGAGACTTTAACATAGCATGTATGCAGAGACTGACAGTGTTTCCCAGCTAATCCTTATTCCATTTGCTATTTGATTTTGTTTTGTAACATCCTTAATACAACAGTGTTTTTATATTGTTTACACAACTGTGGTTTGGTGAAATTACACCTAGATCATTCTCTTTTTCCTCTTTAGACAACCTACTATTTATAACAAATATTCTGGAACTTTAGTGATGATGACAATAAATATTCTTAGCCAAAGATCAGTATTTACCTCCACCATTAGTTAAGACTGTGCTCCCTCGGTTTTCTTGATACTGACTTTCTCTTCGCAGTCTCTGTTCTTTAGTGATCTCTGCCACACGTAAAGGGAGATCTGAGAACTCATCTGTTGGCTTTAGAAAACAAACAGTGAAGTCAAGAAACGCTTTTTGGAAACATCATCTTGTAAGCTACTACCTCTTGATTTGTGTTTTTACTTCAACCGTCCTGTTTTGCAACAACAAAACACGTAAGTTAAAGCAAAATATGGCTATTGAGTATTGTTTTTAAAAACCCATCTATTTAAGCTTTCCTAAAAAAACCAGCTTGCCTACAGTTTTGCCTGCAGTATATACAAGTGCCTGAAAACTTCCTAGGATGGAAAACTCCTGAAACATTCTCAAAAACCAAGCTAGGAGCGCAAGCAGGCGTACGGAGTATAACCCACTGAAATGCTTTAGGTCTTGGCTACTGCCTTTTCTAGCTGTCCCAAGAGGAAGAAGGAGCTTTTTCCCGGGAAGAATGATTGATGGTCTCCTTGCTAAGAGATGCCATTTTCCTGCTTCTAAATGGCAAATATTTTATTTTTAACATTTGAAACACACTGCAAAGAAAGAAGGTGAAATTTCTGTCTCATTTTAGAAGCTTAATTTTCACGTTCCGATTAATTTTAGTGAATCAACTACTCATGAGTAATTGTAGTTGACTCAATATTGTAATATGATACATATTTTAGTGAATGTAGTTGACTCAATATTGTAATATGATACAGTTACAAGCTTTTTTAAAAATGAGGAATACCATTTTCCTCATCTTTTATGCTGCAGTAAATTCATCTGTCATGCACTGTTTTATAAATTTGTCTTATTACTTCCAACTTTATGTCCATCCCCTATAAAATTATGCTTTTTTTTCTCCAATAAAACAACAAATAATTTTGGCTCAAGGCAACTTGCACACTAGCATATACGTGTTATGTATTGAATATACTTCAAGATCTATACTTATTAGTTCTTTTTGTACAGTACCGCACTCAACAAATATAAAGCTGCAACACTTACTTCATTCCCTGACCATCTTTTGTCTCCACTGTCGACACTATTGAAGCCAGAATCAAGAGCTCCGTACGGCCGGCTGGAATAGAGTTCCTCATGGCTGTCAAACACACAGTTTTAGTTACTGTAATATAACAACCACCAAAAGCTTCTCAGCTATTACAGAACAAAAGCAGAATAAGCCACCAAGCACAGTTGCTGTGTGTTCAGAAGCTCAGCATACTAGAAAGTATCATACTGCATTTGCCATATAGATAAAGAGGCACGTGCTTACAAACATACTCACCAGTCACTGCCCACCTGCCACTGCACAGTATTTTAAGAGCTAATCTGATCCAAAGTATATATCCGTACTTCAAACATTTCCCAAGCAGAAATTTTGACCAAGGAAACTGCAAAGGGCTCTCTTATTTCAGTGTTTAACAAGTCAAACTTGAATTTTTCACTATTCATGTTTTGGTTGAAAAACACTATCCCACAAACTTTTTCATAAGAAAGCGTGAACTCATGCAACATTACTAAAAATATAGGTATGCCAGAGTATACTACTTCTACACCAAAGAATGCAAAATGTATTACATAACTATCTTCAGTATCATAATCACCCAAGAAACTGTGCACTACACTGAACAGTATTGCAAATGATTCATAATATAACAAATATAGAAGTATAATTTTCATCTACAGAGTCTGACTTTGTCAATGACCTGTCTAGACAAAGGCATTAGGCAAGTGCCTGGTGTTACAATACACATAACCAAACAGCCATGCAGTTCTTCTCTAAGTTTCTGGGCTCAGAAACTACATAATTCAGCAGTACAGCCATCACAGATGTCAAGTTTGGCAACTGCTGCGGATAGCTACAGTAAAAGAGACAATGGGACTTGTCTGATCCACTGCAGATGGCATTTCACAATGGCTCAACTGTCCTGCTGGCACTCCATGCCCCAGGGAGAACTGCAGCAGTAATTACTACATAATACACAAGGAAGAATGAATTTCAGGAAGCTAATTGCTTCACCCCATCATAACTAAATTGCAGGTCATTTTCTCACTGGTATTGCTCTCAAGTTGTTGCTCCCACTAAAATCCCCTTTTCAGGAAATACTTATTTTCAAATTACTGTTATTATTATTATTATTTATGCAGCACCATATGCACGCATGGGACTTTGTAGAACAGTGACAGACTATTACGCTGGGAGATTTTAATTTTCAGAGAGATATAAAATAGCAAAAAACTAAGAGGAGGCATGGAGGGCTACAGATGAGAAACTATACAGCTGCTTCTGTGCAGGTCTAGATGCTGCAAATGTACACCAAAAGACACGGAGGGCTACAGATGAGAAACGTTAGGCTATACGGCTGCTTCTGTGCAGATCTAGATGCTGCAAATGTACACCAAAAGACAAGCTTTTGTACCTGCATGGAGTTTTGATTAACTCAAAGGAGTTCCACCTTTATGGTCCCTGTATTTGAACAGAAAGATCATCTGCGTAATAAGCTGCAGCAAGAAATAAGGGGAAAGGAAAAACAACTCCCTTCTCTTGGGTGGGGAAGAAAACAGAAAGACTATGAAATCACCCAGCGCAGTTAAAGTATCACTAACAATAGAACCATACTTATGCTAACAGTTCACATTGTTTAAATACTGCATTTAAAACATGATTCAGAGAAAATTAAAATCCATCTGCAGTATAATTCCATTTTAAATGCACCAATATTTTTGGAATCTCTTGAGAACCGTGTTGTAAGTTGAACAATTATTCTAAAATTAAGAGCATCAAAGTTATTATTTGGCTACACCTCTATAATAGAGAAGTATTTTGATACAAATTTTCTTCTTTTAGCCTTCCTTTTTCCATTATAGATTTTGAAAAGCTAGCACTAAGGTTATCTGGAACCTCAAAAATTCATAATCACTGTTGTCAGGACTCTTCTCCTTTTTAACATGAAAGCTGCTTTCCGTCTCCTCAGCTCTCGTGTCTAAAACAACTATGCAGTGCTACACACTTTACATGTTTATAATCATACAGCACCGGGGAGCTATGTAAGTCTTGAAATCAGGGGATGAGAAGCAAGATGCCTGGTAAGGCCAAGAGCCAAAAGAAAGACAATACTTGCCAACATTTCAAAGACACAGCTCCAAAGCCACACTAAACATGTATTTTTATCTGCTGTAAGAATGAACGGTCGCCCCAGTTCCAGAATATCCACTACAGTGGTTCATGCATGAGTAGTTCACGTTTTAAACCCTCTAGCTCCAGACTATACCAGTCTGCCTCAGTGCCAAAAGAATTGTTACATGGCTTCAGCAGTTCTGCCTCCTCTCAACCCCATTCACTCCAGCTCAAACCCCAGCTGCTGTGAACCGCGGTGCTGCGAATGAGACTGGCTGCAGCACCTCAAAACTTGCTGCAAGATAAATTTCACACAACTTATGTCTAGGAAAGGACTGTAACATACAAGGTTTCACTCTGGTAAGACAGTTTGACATAATTTGACAAGGCTAAAACAAGTAACTAGAACCTCCAAACCACAATTTCTGCCATAATGTTTGAGAGTCCCTTTTTTTATTAGCACTATTAACAACTTAGTTATTAAAAAATTTTTGATCAACAGTGAACTCACAGCACAACTGCAACTTCTTTAAACTTTAAGAATCTCTACCACTCAGTTTCAGCTTCTTAACCTTCATGGTATTTCACCTAGCTTATCAGATAAAACAGCTACAAAGCCTCTGTACTGACTGATATCTTAATTCTGTTGGTCACCTTTGAAGATAACAAACATAAAGCTCTTGTGACTTGCCTGGAAGTATTAACTATATTGTAGATGAAAGCTTTTATTTCTTTCATCCCAAATTCCAGAACAATATAATAATTTGGGATCCTCTCTTCCACTGGATCATTCTAGTATTTTCTCCTAACTTTCTCAGGTCCATGGACAGTTCTTCCATACATACCTGAAGACAGGAGGAATCACATGCAGCACTAAAGGTCCTAAACAGCACGGTAACAAGAAATAATTCTACCGCCAAATCTTATCTCCTCTTGGGGACAGAAATACAGCTAAAGGAAAGACAGCTGGACTTCATTTCATACGGCTGAAGCTGGAAGCAGCTCTAGAGAAAGCACCCTCAACCAGTTCTGCACTTATTTTTACATTCATAATTACAAGCTATGATTAAAATAAATTTATTCTTCTCATTTCACAGAAGCAATTAATTAAAGCTTCCATAGTAATATACAACTACAGCCAACAATAAATCAGTAAATACATAGCCCACTGATTTTGCTGGAATTTCTCTTAAAAATAAACAAACTACGCTAAACAGATCATGACATTTTATCATTTAGAGTCTTTTCAGTAACAGGACAGAATCCCCAGTATTATGCAAAAACCTTCTGCAACAGCTTATACTCTAGGAAACTGCGTAACGCTCATAAAATGCTCATATGTTAACCTCATGTAAAAAAATGATTTAAGACATTCAGTGTTGATGAGGAATCCCTCTGTCACTCCCTCACGCAAATTCTTCTTCACAAATCTGACTCATGATGATTTATTGTGAGGCCCTCTTGATTCAGGCTTTATTGCTGCTAAGACAGCGGTACATCCTTTAGCAACTTATTCTTCCACACCTTATTGCCACCTTCCAAGACGACTGAGGTAATTTTTATATATATTTAGTTTCTTACTTCTTTCTTTTATATCATGTAACAGAAATAAATCTTAACTCCTGCTTTTCTCTAGACATCTTAATTTAGCAGCTGATACAGCTGACTGTTCCAATATTTGTATTACAATGCCGAGTGATAGTGCCAAGTGAAAGTCTGCCAAAACCAACAGTTTATTAATGGGGTGGAGATCAGCATTTACACCTGCGGTTTGAGCACAGTAGTTATAAAATTCCGTACAAAAGGTTAAAAATCACAGCAGGGGTATACCTCAGTAAGTGTGTGGAGAATATTAAGATCATATAAACTGAATACACGTTAACAACATGAGAAGACGCCTCCTGTACTGCGAAGATACCAACACTCTCTTACTGTATAACAACTCATTGCCTTTCACATGATATTGCCCAGGTTTTCTTCTGAACTGGTCCTTGCTTCTTATATAGTGATCCCTTGTTAGAATGCATGAGTTAGCACAAATGGGCTTCTTCAAAGCCAGCTCTGTCAATGCACTTACCAAAGAGCAATCCTTAGATCTATTTTTTTAAAAAACTCAGACTGACAAAATTTTCCTGAATGTCATCAAAACTAGGAATTTGAGATTGTGCCAAACTTACCAAGATCCAAATCCCATGGGTCTCCTATCGTAGTCAGGCAAGTCTGGAGCTATCTTGCATGCTTCTATGTTCAGGTATTTAAATATGTGAATTTTTCCTTTTATACAGATCTTAAAAAAAAAAAAAAATTATGTAAGTATAATTTGAGAATACATATTGAAAGTACTCTATAGACATTTAATCTGTAGTTGAGAGTAATAAATGAGCACACTTATGTCAACCAATGCATCTTTTCCTCTAATCTCACTGCATTTTAGAGAAATGGCTACAGAGGGGCATCATGGGATACCTGTGATAGACAAATGGAAACTGTCCTCCATGTACATCTGGTCTGCATGCAACTTTGTCAGCTGGATGCTGAAATTTCATCATGCAAACAGGACACAAGCATTTACAAGTAGTAGAATTTATACCCTTGGCATCAGAACAGATGCATCCCACCCATGCCCAGCTTTGAATGGCAGTGGCAGACTGCCAAAGCAAGCTCAAATTTAAAGTGAATGAAGCAAGTAACAGCTGTCTTTGCTTTCAAAAGGGAGGCAAAACCCTATTGAAACTACAGGTCTTAGCAAGTGCCACTCTTGACTCAGAAGCAGCAGATCACAGTAGAACCTGTAACACTCCAGGGCTTATATACCCACATTAAAAATCAAATTAGTCACTGGCCATACTGCAGTTTCTAGCTCAAAGGCCAATTTGAGCACTCTGCTGCAAAGTGGCACTGAGGCCTCTATCAAAATTTCAACATTTGAGTGAAACAAAATTGCCTAAGAGAGCTTCCTCTCTCCTCCTCTGAAAGCAGAAGTGTTCAGCTAACATTAGTACAGTGCTAACAGAAGAATTCTTAGTAATATCCCACAGGTGAGACTACTAATGCAGTAAAGCAAGAGAAGAAAAAGGGATTTTTGAAGCTGTGCTGTTTAACACTTTCAGAACATACAATTTCTTTAATGTCCTCTTGTTCTTAAATAAAGTTTGTAGTATAATCCTTCAGTTTATAACTTCGTTCTGCCCTTTTTAGTTGAACTAGTCATCTGAATTCCTCACTGCGGTTTACCTGTGCAGGGGGTGACTGGAGAGGGTTGTTCTCTAACATGATGGACTGCAGATGTCTGAGGTTTCTATAACAAACTGGTATCGTTGTTATTTTATTGCAGGAGAAATCTAATCGAATCAAAGGCAACTCAGCAAGCTCTGTAGGTAGAAAATAAATATACAATTAAGCAGATTAAAATAGTATAAAAAAGCAAGAGTATAAAATATGTGCTTTACAAAATAATGAAGTGCGCTGCTTCTAGCTCTCAGGGGAAGAAAAAGACATTGAAAATAAAGGAATGCTTGAAGTTTACGCTGTTATCGCTCACAGCCTTTATCTCACCTTCAGGTAAATGCACCAAATTATTTCTTCTGACATTTAGGTCCCTCAATGATTCCAAATTGCCAATCTGTGGAGGTATTGTCTGTATTTCATTACAGCTCACATCCTACAAAGTAAGAGTAAAGAATGAGTTGCCACTGACTGGTAGGCTTCTGTTCACTAAAATATGTAGCACTTTATTTGGGGACTGCAAGAAAAAGACAACTGTTTTCACCTCAGATCCTTATATTCATTAAATCTCATTGCCGATGTGAAACATTATTCTCATTTTAACTACATGAGGAAATAAAAGCTTTAAAAGATTAAGCATTCATATGTAGAAGTTTATTTCAAGTCAATCTCATTTGAGTTATTTCATATTATTTGACAGAGCACAACATGCTACATAAAAGCTTTTTTCCAGAAACAAATGCGTTAAGAGTTCTAATTCCATGCAGACTTCCTTTCAAAAACAGGGAAGACTCTTAGTTAAATTGACACGGATCATTTGCTCCCCAGTGCAAGGCATTTTCCCCTCATATAATTGTTTTTTTTTTAAAATTTCCAAGTATTTCTGTTTTCTAACACCTCTATACAATGTCAAAACATAGTTGGAGGTACTACGGCAGATAGAAATCCTCCTTAGACTAAGAGCAGATTTAAATAACTTGTCATTGGATACAAGTGACTGGTTTACAATCACAAAGTTCTCAGTAGAATGAGAAACAGGATGTTGATCTTGCACATGCCCAGATAGCATCCTAATTCCTGCATTATTTTGATCAGTTTAAAAAAAAATATGTTATTTCTTCTGAAGCATCTCCGAACCTATTAAACACACCAATTAAAAATGAATAGTAATAGTTAAAAAATAACTGTGTACTCACAAGCTCTGTCAGCTGTCTGAGCTGCCCAATTTCTTCAGGTATTGAAACCAACTTATTATTACTCGCTATCAAAACCTTTAGTGGTAGACTGCAGAGGTGTACTGGCAATGTTGACAGCTGATTTCGACTTTTTGGACAGAAAGAAAACAAAATCATCAGAACTCTAATGAGAAATCACCTCACATCTTAATGCAATGAAAGACACATAACAAAAATAGCACTCCATTTAGATGACCAACTCCGTTTTTAAATTATTACTGTAAAAGTTGTTCCATGAAGTCTTTCTTCATTACTTGCTTTACCTAGTTACGTGTGAACAAGCTCTGAATGTCAACCACCAAACCTGACTGGATGCTTTCCAACCCAGGGTTGGGGAACATGATATTTTCATGTCCTTTCAAGTGCTTCTGACAACTAGCCACTCTCTGTCACAAATGAGTACGTTTGAACAGCGTGCAAAAGCCTTTTGGATAGGTGGTATTGCAGGCCAGCACATACAAAATGCCACAGAGAAAGTTATTACTTACTCAATTAGAAATATACTTTAAATATTCAGTAAGTCACATGGGTCAAGAATCTTGGCATGATGGATTTCACTATTCCAAAATACAGTCTTGGACATTTCATAATAAACTACTATTAAAGCAAATATGAGGTCATAGACTGGACTGTAACCTCAGGTGAGAATCAGGCAGGATGAGAATGGATTGCAAAAGAGAAACATTCCCTTTAAAAATAATAAAAATCGCAAGGAGCATTAATTGGATGATTAGAAAGTTATTAGGATCTTAACTAAGGCTTTGATCAGGTGTTGACAATTGCTGCTATATCATTTCACACTTGAAACCTATAATTCCCTACTATTAAAGGAAAAAAAACCCCAAACTACTGAGCAGTATATGAACCTAGAGTAGCTTTTAAAAGGATAATAATTGGACTGCGCCTATTAAGAGATCATAGCAACAGAAAACCCAGACCTGATTCACATCCTATTCCTACAATTCTCCCCATCCATAAAAAAAAATAATACAGTAAATGTAAGCATACTAAATTGGCAAAAGTATAACACCAGAAGGAAATAGCCTGAAGCTCTTCTTGATTGATGTCACTGCTAATTTGTGACAAGAAATTTTCCACACCTCTTAAAAGGCCTTCTACAAATGGAGGACGCTGTACACAGTGGAATTTCATCAACAGGCTAAGTTACAGCAATTAGTTTTTAATGCTGGCAGAGAAGTGCTAATGCTTGAGAAAGATCTTTAAACCACTGGTACAGTGAAGGCAAAGGGAAATTGCACAAGCCTTATTCAGCTGCTGAGAGCTGAATTGTAAAGACTATCCAAAAGCTGCAACCTTTTTTTCAGTCTGCATGCCTCTATTCCACATGAAAACTACTGGAATTTATTTTGTGAGTCCTTTAAATTGGAATTAGCTTCCTTCTTCATGTTCCCTTCTACAAGTAGATGCTTAATCTTTGTGTTCCATGATCCACCTAAGTGGGTAAGACTGGTTTAGGTTGCTTCAATTCAATATATATAGAGACAGACACATACATACAATGTAACAACTTGATGATTACACACCATGGCTGCATCAAAATTTATAAACCCAGACTATTTATGCTAAAGCAAAATTTCTAAGACAATCGTTACCTGATATTCAGAAACGTTAAAGACTGTAAGTTCAAAACAGCCTCTGGGATGTATCGAATGCAGTTCTGGTACAAATTAAGACTCTCGAGGGAAACAAAGTGACATGCTTCTGCTGGGAGCTCTGACAGTCTGTTCCGTGACAAATCTAAAGGGAAGGAGAAAAGAAGCATTCAGTAAAGCTATCTTCAAACTTCAGGAGGACAAGTATTGTCTGTATATTCGCTGTCACAGTGGGAACAGTTGGACAGGAATCAACCTGCAAAATTTTCTAGATCATAAAGTGACTCTCAAAATAAATCAACGTATTTTAAAATCTTACAGCCACAACAAGAAAAAGAGAGCCAGATGCAACATTCACACTTTCATATCCTGGACTGCCTTGTGCTTAGAGGAAGGGGTTTAAGATGCTGGATGTCTAGCTTTAAATCTCTGTTCCAGGACTATCTTTAGCTTATGGAGGTGGTATTGGGTGCCCTAGTCAGAAAATCAGAAAGTACTTTTCTCCCAGCCCCCTGCTCAGGTACTCTCTGCTACATGGAAATCTCAGCTTCAGATTTCTAGTCTAAAATATAGACTTCATATACATAAACACATATTTATAGGAAACAGTTCCAACAGGGGAAACACGAGGCACATACCTTAGATGAGCCTTCTATACTGTAGCCAAAGCATTCCCTCCTTCAAAGGGACACCAGTTCAAGCCTGTAATCTCAACCAGGCAATGGAAGGATTTTCAATAAAGGGTCTTCCCAGCTGCAGAGAAACACTCTGCTTGCTGCTATCAGTAAGTTTTACTGCTTCTTTATGATCATAAATTCCTTGCTTAGCAAGAGACAAGAGTTTAACCAAAACTACTACCAATTGTTTGTATTTGAGGAATCAATATTTTCCCTTAGCCAGTTTTAATTATGAGTCTGTATGTATAAAATATCCATGAGTGTTACTCTCCACATTATGATAAATAATGCAAAGGGTTCTTTTTTCTTTAAAGGTCAGGGAAGCTCCTGCTTATAAGTGCCAAAGGACAGTTCTCACAAACAGCTCCTGCTTCCTAACACACCCAGCTCTTAATTCTGACAGGAGTTATCCTCACATCAAGAGCACCTTGCGTCAGCAGGGAATTCCTATGGAGATACCGCCTGTTTAATAAACTGATGCTTCACCTTTGCTTTTTTAAGGGATGGCAGACATCCATTGTAAAAACCCATCTAACCTGAATGGGTGTCATGAAGGATTAAAAAAAAATGCAAATTTAATTGCTGTTTTCTTTATTTGTTTTGAATTTCAATTTGTCCTCATCAGTGTAAGACGATAAAAGCTCCCACCCCAAAACATATACAATAAATTGACACAGGAATTTCTGTGTCTTTATTCCATGAAGGACCCACCCAATAAAGATTACTTTTTAAAGTCTGGCAATGCAGATGGGTCTTGTGTCTCTTGACTTTTATTTTTTCTTTAAAGGGAAGCTTTTCCAGAGTAAAAAAGTTCTCATTGGGATAACCTGCCTACAACTGTTCCAACGTACGCTGCATGAGGTTGTGCAAGGAAAAGAGGTCACTCTGAGAGCAGCTGGAACTGACTCTAGGTCTATTTCGATGCTTAGAACAAGCCAGAAGCTAACTAATAACCAGTAATTAAGTCTCAGTAGAAAGAAGCACTATGAAAAACTCCGTAGAGAAAAACCTCCAGATGTACTTTAATGTACAAGTGGGAAGGAACTGTATTATCCAGTCTATGGGTATGACTGATGCTAACTATAGCAGAGGCTGCGATAGATATGAAGTTCAGCAGATATTGCTGAATGGTGCACGCAGCCTTAAATGTGACCTCAGCTTAAACTTGACTGAACTTGATTTTAAAAACCAACCATTTTAAGTTAAAGTTTCCAACCACCTCTAACAGTGGCAGCTAAAACTACAAAATAATAGAATTCATCAGCATTAACCTGCATTGCATAGCTAGAATTAATTGCCTTGACATAAAAGTTTGAGTTCTTTGACTCCCTTTTCTGTTTTTCTTAGGAAAGACAACATTTTTCCCCCTTTTTTCTTTTCTTCTAAAAGCAAAAAAACCCTGCACACACAGATTGCTAAAGACAGCTTCCATAAACATCCTAATCTTATCATACGCTAATCCAGATAAAACATCAGATAAATGCCTCAAATGCAAAGAAAGACCACAGTGATGGATCCTGCTTCCTGCTACTGACAAATACGAAGTTTTCTTACCTCTCTTACTTGTCCCAGGCCCTTCATATTGTCAAAGTTTGTGGGAAACTCTGATTGGAACTAAATACAACAGGTTTTTTTGATCACCTCACCACACCGCCCCATAAACCCCATGCCAGCACCAGTGCAGGCAGCAGAGTCCCTTGTTCTGGTGGCAGGGATTACCTTTGCTGGTTTAAAGAACACAATGGACTCCAGCCTAAGTGGAAACAGTAAATGAATCAGACTGACCAGAACCTGATTAAGAATATGTAGATACTAAAGGAGTCAATAAAGTATCCATGTAAATCCTGCAGGGACACAGCATACATTTTCAAAGGAATTTATGCAATGGACACTTATTTTCCACAAGCCATCTCCCGCAATACACTAGTCTGTCCTAGGGTTTCTTCTGCTTTACTTCCATTATTTAATTCTCATTAATGTTTAAGTGAAAATGACAGCAAACTTCAACCCTCCTCTCCTCTAAGTTGTACAGCTGCAGTAGATTTAAAGCAGAGTAATAGTGCTGAAACTCTGCAACAACATGATGTCCAAAATTGCGACATTCCTATTAGGATCTCTCTTGTGCCAACATTATGGTAAAATGTAACAGCAGAAGAGTGATTTCCAAACAAACATACTGTCCCAACACAAATAAAAATTATGTATCCTGAAAAATTTCAAATAACTGCAGCCAATCACAGCTTCTGGAATCACTGAAATTAGCTATGATACATACAACTTGCCATAAAGTTTCATGGTACAGTTGTATGTTTCCATATAAGAAAGGGAAAAGGATGCAAATTATTTCAGAGTTGACAAGAAACAAGCAATAATAATTCAGAAAAAATATTTAGCTTCCACATTGACTAGATGTTTAAACACCTATTTAATTTGAAGAATTACTGCAACATTGATTCACCTATGAGGTGTAAGTGTTTTTCTTAGGGACCCCAAAGGATGGAACTGAATTCCACCACCTACCCCACAATCTACTCCAGCACACAGCTGCGCTGGCAGCATCTGTTTCAATACCACCCATTTAAACACAGAAATAGGCTTCCCGAGTAATGAGCCATATTTTCTGGAAGAAGAGTCACAAAGAAAAAGTTTCTTTCAACACTGTTTTGGAAAGGGTTTAACCACAAACATGAGAATTCTCAATTGCTTTTTGTTTCACTTTATCTTATCAAGGAACATTTAAAGCCTACTGTTTACACATTGTTCAGACCATAAGGCACGGCGCACAAGTAAAGAACTTCATATATTCTGAGCTATGATGTAGTATTTCTAAAGAAATAACTCCCTGCAAAATAACATTAGGTATGAAGAAACGAAAATACTTATTTTTAAACAACAAATGAGCTCATAGCATGGCGGAAAAGAGACACCAAAGCTGGTTAGCAGCAATGACTAAGTTTTTCCAGACTTCCCTCAACCTACAGTGATTTTTAAAACTTGACATTTCTGTTTAGCAGTAGAAATCCAGTGGAAAGCGGATTAAATCTGAGCTGAACTTTCATGCTGCAGTATAGTCTCTTAAATCATTCAAAATGGGTCTAACCAACTACAAATTTGGTTAATAAGATTGCAGCATTTTTACTCAAATGATGGCCCTGAGAATGCTATCTTATACACAGCATCCATGATTTCATGTGCTAAGAGGGAAGGTCTGCCAGGACCATAAAAAAGGACAAGTGCTAGGAAAAAAAGACTATAAAACAAGAATACCTCTAGAATTAGATAGAAGCAATATATGATAAAATACAGTGTGTATTCTGAACCTGCAAATGAAGAACTGCTTTTGGTTATTTGCAGTCCCCATCTTGCTCCCCTGCAAATCTCCAAGAAGTACTGACACTTCCCAAAGTCTCAAGCACAGCATCCCTAAGACTCAGAAATATTTTTGATTTCAGCCAATTTCTCTGGAACCCTCCCCCACTCCAGAAAGCAGACCTTAAATGGGACCAGAATCAGGGCAGAGAGTACAGCAGTCATTGTATGAAACAATTCAACAACTCCATCCTCTTCCCCACCTTCCTCCTAAAAATATCTGAATGAAAGGAACAGCTCTAACAAAACCAGGAGAGAAGGAAAGAAAAAAGCACTCCAGTGATGGATATATGCTATATATTACATATATGCTATCTCTGCACTACAGCAGTAGCTGGTGCTTTTCCAGAAAAGAAAGTGGGAGTGAGGCAAAGGAAAAAAAACTATGGTATTTTATTGAAAATATCTTGCCAATTAAGACTTGTTTTAGTTATATTCTTCTGCTCCTGTATCCATAACTGTTCAGCAATGACCAGAAAATAAAAAGGCATTATAGTACAAATTATTGTGCAAACCAAAATTTGTGCAGATTTCTCTCAATTTCTCAGAAAAATGAAAGAATGTTGCTGTGAGATAATTTTATATATATAATTTTTTTACAAATATTGTATAATGAATTAAGAAGCAATTGATAACTGTTAAATCAACCAAGGAGTAATCAGCATGATGCAGACTATTTGCTTTAATACGTATGTACACACCCTTGCTGCTTGACATAACATAAAATGCAGAGTGAACAACTAATTCCCTCTGCCAAAAGCACAAACGCTGAATTTCACTATGAATGAGCAGGAGCGAACTATGGATATTATAATTTGAACTAGGATTGACTTGTTTGTGTTCACATTTCATGGGTTAAAATTACTGTTGCCAGAAATCTGCTTTAAAAAAGGTTCTTGTAGCCTGCTAAAAATGGATGTGTTTCCTTGAAGGCAAGATCATGTGGAATTTTGGCAAAGGGGAAGCGTTCTTTGGAACTAAGCTCTTTGTGAAAGATAAAAAAGCCAACAGTACAAATACAAAATGAGATCTCAGAGCAGAGTCTGATCACTGACCTTTTCCATCTTAATTGGGATTCCACTCAGAAAGCCAGCAAATC